ATGTAGTAGCAAATAGTAGTAGTCGTAGTAGTAGTAAGTTTGTAGTCACAAAAAAAGTCGTCATAAGTGGTGTGGGGACAAACAAATTATGAGTGGAACTTACCAGTTGACCATCTGGAGAGTCGACCACAGGTGGGCCAGACTCATACTTTTGGACGGAGAGGACAGTGGGACGATCTCGATCGCCGTCAGCTACCATCGTGGATGAGATGATCACAAGGAGAAATCTCGGACACAATCTGTAGCAAAAATGGAAACGGCAAGGTCAATCGATGAATTATGTATAGCGCCCAAGCAGGCAGGCAGTAGTCGTTGTACGGCCAATTATTACACGTACGGCTTCCGGCCCTTGTTTCATCCATGGAGATGAACGTGCCAACCGAAGACGCTGTTTGAGACGTAATTGCTGGACAATTTTCAGATAATAATGTAATTCTTTCTTTGCGAGTCCCTGCTTCATTTCGTTGTTGACAATTGAAATTAAATGTGCAAGATAATATTGTGCAATTACTTATGGATGGATGAAAAGGAGAGAATATTGAGTGGAACGATTGAAATTTCATGGTGCATACATTCCAATAACAATTTGTCTGACAATGCATGGGGACGCAAACCATGTTCAATCCAGATTATTTTGCGACCATGTTAGTTTGAAAAAGCAACTCTTTAGAAACAACATTTAATGGCATTTGCAAAATTCTGCAAGTTCTGAGCATCGCAAGTTCGCGAAAACACTCTGTTATCCAGCGGAATCTGCGCCTTGCTGTAACAGTTGCGCATTTTCGTGAACTTTCGGGGCTCAAAGATTGCTAAATTTTTCGCATATGCGCAAATTCCGAATTAAATGTTGTTTCTAAAGAGTTGCTCTTTCAAACTAACATGTCCCAAAAATAATCTGGGTTGAACATAGTTTGCGTCCCCATTGTGACTCCCTACAGATCTATGATTATGCATGTATGTAGCTCTGGCTGGCTGGGCGAGTACTGATTATTGTCAAACTATTCGTCATTGTTTGCAAGAGAGTGACAATAAATTTCTGTGTACAAGTATGTAAAACTATGTAGGAGTGAGTAGTACATAAATATGAAATTCCAACACAGATGAACTTGCCATCCACTAATATCGTACATATTGTTATGTCATCTCATCCGTACAGTCAACAATTCAATTAGTTGTAAAAATATTGACCTGAGGAGAACAAAACCCCGAATATTTACAAGGAGAGGAAGGTCTCGCAATAAAACAGTTGGACGGCTTGCTCCCTCTAATTTGCAAATATTTCTTTAAACACGTTTGAAATCGTCTAACAAGCAAATCTCTCAAGTACTTATGGGCCAAGGTTGCCATAAAATTGGGAATATGTATACTTCCAATTTGTTCCGTGGTGGGTGTTTTATTTCGCAAATATGTAACGATCTCAAGTACAACTTTGTCCATAGTGCTAAATAATGTGGAGATAAATCAGAGATAAATATTCATTTTAGGCTCAAATGTAGCCTCTGATTCGTCTCACCAAACATATTTTACGTCTAGATACACTCCAACCTTAATAAATGAGATGTTTACATCCATAATTTCTAGAACTGTTTGTACATATTTTATTTTTTCACTTGTACGTTTTTTTCTGTGTGCATTATTATGTAACCATCTGATGAATGATATTTGGAGTGTGTACACGCGTCTGTTTTGGACATGCACACACTAAAAGTAAATAGGTGCGCCCACGAGGAGACGACTTTGAGTGTGTGGGTCCTGGAGGAGGATTGATGGAATGGAATTCATGTTCACATTCACATCTTCTCGCTCGCCTAAATAAAACTGGAACGATTTGTCTCCAAATACATTATGCACTTGTCGTCGCAATAGTGTCGGACAAATTGATGTCACCACTTTGCGGAGACATCATTACGTAACGGCGTCACCTCTAAAAATGTGGTGGTCCGAGTCGTACTTACAAGAATTAAACAACTATTATTATGCATGCAGACACGTTTTTTTCTACGACCGAACCCTCACCATCTAATGAAATGTAATGTCTCTCTGCCAATAATATGTATGCATGCTGTGCAACAATCTCTCAAATTAAATGGTGTATGGATACCATAAAGAAAATCGTATTTCTTTCTTTCCACCGAAGAATATCAGTAATTGAGATGGGTTTCTCGTATAAAAACAGAGTTATCTTGTATCATTATTAATGAATAAATACGTGCCCAGCAGCAGAAAAACAAGCACCGTCTCCTCCACCTCCTCCTTTTCGTACACGTTATTTTTTGCTCAAAGGCCATCTTCTATTATTGTGAAGGTTGCAAAAGGTGTAGGTGGATGGATGATGGTGGATGGAATCTGACATGAGAGCAAACGCCCTTGTCTTGCCAAGTTTATCAGTCGAGATGAGAGGAGAGTCGTGTGTGCGAATTGAGACCTACTTTAGCTTAGCACAGTAACAACCAACCCTTCGAATCATCCCATCCCACTCTTCTCTGGATGGTTTTCGAAGTGATTGTTTGGAGGAGATGAATAATCAGGCGAGTCGATCTTTGGGAAGAAATTAAAATGGAAATTGACTTGATTAAATGCCATTTCTTGTGGAAATCGACACACGTGCTGCAGAACACGGAGGGATGAAAACCTACACCAAATTTTGAAACGGGGTCCCGTACAAATTTCATGCTTTTGTGGAAACGTGGCTATCATCTTATTTTACAGGAGTCAATGTTTCAAATATGGCCGTGGTGGTGGTGGTGGTGTTGATGATACGTAATCTGTTTGTGAGTCACCCGAGAAATGGATAGCGTTGAAGAGAAGAGGCAGATTTTTGCCAAAAGTTTGCATTTTCCATGAAAGCAAACTTGAACTACGTGACTTGTCCTATGTTCGCAATCTGTTCGCTACTAATTTCTAGAAAAAGAACTCCACAAAAAGCTTACCAGTTTAGCAATGATCCGTAACAAGACGTTGTCAATTTTTAGCTACATACACTATTTTTTCCACACTTTTAAACTAAATCACAACCGTATTTCACATTAAAACAGATAAATAATACTAATTCCAACACTGATTTACAAAAAGTCACCCTCCTTTTTTTAATAGGCCACGCATCCACGATTTTATTTAATAATTCGGACAAAAGGTGAATGAATACAATTTGAGCTGGCTGAAACAAATATGTGTCGCTCTTGCCCTCAGAGTTAGTTTGGGACTGAGCTAATTGAGTGTGCAGATATCGAATAAGAGATTATTACACGTCCCAACTAAATAAACTAGTAAACATACAACACAACACAAGATGGGATAACCTTTGCCAAAAACCTACGTTACTTTTACCTTGCGAAATCCATAAAAGGGTAGAGAAACATTTATAAATGGAGATTGCAGTTTCCATCCACTGATTCGTCATACATTATTCGCAACCAGTCAGTACCTGCTTTCGTCAAGTGTGAGTACATAAATTCTTCATTCTTTTCGTGGTCACCTCACCTCACCACCAAATTAAAGAACATTCCATACCATACGATACCATACTCCATCTTCGGACCAGGAGGACACGTTGTCATTTATGTGCCGATTGGACGCTCAATCATCCTTTTTAGCAACTTCCAGTGACATGTGGTGAACAATGTGGGGGGCATGAGTGCCGTCTGATTAATGGGAGCACCTAATCAAGATGATGGCGAAATAGATTCGCACATTTGCAAAATGAGAAAGTCGAGAAATTCCCAGCAAAAGTTTGCAAATTTTTAAAAAAACAATTGTTTGCACATCGATATCTGCAAATCTGTTTAATGAAATGCTGCGCATCAGCTAAGAAGAAAAAAAACTCGTCAATTCAAATGACCAACATACGCGACGCTAAACTATAAACGCCTACACGACCCATGTCCGAATTTGTATATTCATCCTTGCATAAAATACAGAAGAACAGACGTCAAGTGTGCCAATGATAAAGAGTCAAGTGCACAAAAGTCTCGAATGGATGTACATAAGGAAGAAATTATTATGTCACATAATAATATTTTATCACAATTTTGCAAGTAATGGTGCTCCAAGCCTGTCCGCGTCGTTGCCACTTTTCATTATGTGCACTGAATTAGAAAATATTGGATTGGACTGGTCGTCAATTTGGGTGCGTGGGTGGGTCAGAAGTGGACGATACAATGATAAACTTATCCGTTGAAGGTAATCCACATCATCACATTACATGGATTGAACTTGGCAATTAGAGATACTTCCATAGTTTTAGTTTTAATGGATTTTCTGAAAAAAAATATGCAACCACGTATTTATTAATTGAATGGAGAGGAGAAAATAAGATCATATCTCCTGACTGGGCAGACAGTCACATATGGAAACATCTCATAATAATCGTTTTCTTCTTCTCTTCTCGTGGCGCACATGAAACCAATCACGATAACCATTTGACTAAGAGCCAAACACATTTTGTTGCTGCTGCTGCTGCTGACTCTCTAAAGACCAATCATACACACTTAAACTTGCCCATTGTCTCGGATCCTGACAGTGGCCGCGGAACGACAATGTCCCCACGGTTGTTTATTCGATGTCGGGATCATCTCCCCATCTTATATAAACCCGGCCCTTCCCCTATCCCACAATGTTAGCGTCCCCAGAACGGCTTCCGCGGCCACTGTAGGACAGTCGCGATTTAATCAATTCAATGTAACCTAGAAGAATTTGTTTGTCCGTGAGTAATACCAATCTCCATGTAAATATGGATTTATTTCGTAGCAACATTGACAGTACGACTGCATAAATTCGAGTCTACCCTCATCCGATGGGTAACAAACAATGGTTCAAATGACGGAGAAGAACTTTGTCACCGTCAACCGTCATCCATTTCATCAACACCAACTCCCCTTTAATATCATTATTATCATATCGCACCCACCGTGCCTTTGACGACTTGAGACTCACTCTTTATTGTAATAAAATAAAACAAAAGCCATCCAAAAGGGAAAGGAAGCCAAGCCAGATAAGTGAACTTTACGTCACAAAATAAGCACATTCAGATTTGACAGGATGAATAAACGCTGCTTCCACCACCACGACCACCACGAAACCCAAAACTAACTGGAGCATGGATATATTTGATACCAGAGGAGTCCAGTCGTTGAAACGACACTTTACAAACTGGTGGTAATTTGCAGATTGGATAATATTCCAAGAAATTCAATCCCATACTTTCCCCACATTTCATTCCATCTTCTATCCGAAAAAATATCATTTTTTTCTTCACCACCAACATGTGCAACAGTTTGCGTCACGTTTTCTCCGAAATCAAAGCTATGCAAGATAGTTATATATCCGCAGGACTGGAAGTGAATGAATTGATATATAAATATGACGGGACTCAACGCGTGTTCATTATTTACTGCCCCCTATTTCAACGACGGGGTGTATATAAAAAAGAAAAAAGTATGCCGACTTTTCCAAATTTTTATCATGAAAAATTATCATTCTTTCAAGTACTTTCAGCTATTTAACGTCACTCTTCATAATTACGGACAAAGTGGTGGGGACGGACAATCCTTCTCTTCAAAGCGCAATGGCCGCGGAAGGACAGAGGGACAATGTCCCCACGGTCCGCATCATCTCCCCATTTTATATAAACCCGGCCCTTCCCCCATCCTACAATGTTAATGTCCCCACAGTTTCCGCGGCCACTGCTGAAGCGCTACATACTTTAGTTTGAAGGAACCTGACTTATTTGCCTCCCAAACTATCGAAGCGGATCTGAATTTGCAAAACCTAAAAGAACAAGAAGAACGGAAGGAAGGAAGGAAAAGCCACACCATTTTCCGGACCAAGCGTGTCAAAAGGAAAGTTAGTGGCTACTAAGTAAGGAATCCTGCTGCTACGGCTGTTATGGGGCGAACAGGATAAAACCCTCATTCGGATATCTATCCTACCCAGTCTCGCATTGTCCCCGGTTGTTCTCTGTTCTCTGTTCTCTTGGTGAAAAGCAGAGAAACTTGCAACCTTTCGCTCAGTCCACGACTGAACTCCAAAGATTGTCATCCACAATATTTTGCAATTGTTCATCCACTAACCTACATACGTGCAAAATACGTATGTACGATCATCAATAGAACGAGGAAAAACAGTCCGTCGGTCGGTCTCAACTTGCTAATAAAAAAATACAAGATACAAAAATATTGACAAAATAATTCTCGCAATTGAGTATATATTTAGATTTAATTACGCCTCGTAGAGTGCATCTGGTCATTCATTCATGTAGATATGTTTATGCACTTATTTATTGTTTAATTTAACTGGAAAAGTTTATAATAGTGGCGTCGTCGTCGTATTTATGGAGCAGAAGACGACGGAGAATAGGACGCTTGCTTGACTAATAAGCACAGTTAAAGAGTTAGATTGCCTCCAATTGCAGGATTTGTGTGTGTCGTATCTTGAATCCTTCTTATTCACTGCGATATTCTTAAGAGAACTTTGTCCCAGTAAAGTGATCCAGTTTCACATTGACTCAATTATTTGTGCATTTCTACGTATGTAAGTAACTGATCCATTAGTTAGTAGTATCCAATCCAATCCAATTCACCCCGTCATCATAATAAGACTGGATTTTACACTCTACAAAAGTGAATTTGTGACTCATTTTCGATAAACTCTGAAGTAAGTGGAGTTGAACGAGTAATAAGGTTATCAAGGTTTGAGGACAACTAAACTTGTGCATCAGTCTCTTCCTTGTGGACCATCTCGTGGACTCGTATACTGATTACAAGCTACAACTGCCGCAGCTGCCTATGGTAAGAAGAGAAGGCGAATTATTTACTAAATTCAATTGTATTCACTTCTCTAAAAAGCTGTAGACTTATTCTGGCAACGTGAATCATGTTTTCTTCCTTCATTAAAATGTCATTAAGAATTGACAGGCAGGAGGACGAGGAAAGCGAGAGTTTCACACTTTGTTCCCCAAGTGCAAATGAATTTAAGGTAGAGCTGAAGACTGCACAGAAAACTGGTATATTTCGTACATACGTCGGAACGTATCACTGCACGTATCATTGCATTTTTCCAGCAAATAAACTTTAGACTTGAGACGGAATTAATTCCAGCAGGAGCAAGTAGCTCAGTTGCTCAGTAGTAGTAAAGCAGTCCTATGTACTTTATTGGTACAAGTTAGAAGAAGAAACTAAGTCCGTCCGTCTATCCAGAGCTTCTGTTCCACGGTTCACTTGCATCATTGAAATTTAATTAATTGTACGTGTTTCGTTGGACAAGATCACATTAATATTTGCCTCCTAGACGAAAAAGTTGGAAGCAAAGGGGCTAATTCTGTAGTTTCTCCGGCTTGGCATATTTATTTAGTAAATCACGTACATACGAAGCATACCCACCCACCGACTAATAATTTATATACATACGTTTAGCAAGTAGACATATGTACAGTGGCCGCGGAAGCTGTGGGGGCATGTGGGGACGTTAACATGGTAGGATAGGGGAGGGACCGGTTTGCATAAGATGGGCAGACGGTGGGGACATTGTCCTTCCGTCCCCCCAATCTTCCGCGGGCACTGCATATGTACAAACATAAGCAGGGAAATGTACACCAGTGGATTGGATAGACGAATCCGACGTATGTAATTCCCGTCAAATTGCGATTGATGACACAAAAACTCATTTTCCGGCTGTCAAAGCACCTTCATTACGGAGATAGAGAGAAGACTATGCATACATGCAAAGGGGGGGACTTATTTTGCACTTTGTAGTGTATTTTTCCACCCATTCTTTTCCACAGAGCGAGAGAACGAGGACCATGTCGAATTGAAGTATTTATGACGCTCTTGCACCACCAACAAGCGACGCCTCCCTTTTAAACTCGACTCTTCTCCCCATTATTGACGGTCCAATGAGTACTTTTGCACCACAAAATAGGGTACAACAACACTGGACAGACAAGGACTCCTCTGCCTCAGCCTCCAGCGAGTCGTCATCATCATCCGCCCCATTTATTTGAACCATGCATGTTCCAGACAACATGACATAACAGCCAAGCGGTCCAAATTCGAGAGAAGAAAATACCAAAAAACAAAGAAACGGGGTCAAGTGTACAGGACAATAGAATCCGACGAAATAATAACCACCAACTGTTGTGCTGCGGATCATAAAAGTAATGCTAAATCCTCAAATTTCCGGAGGAGAACAACCACCAATGTTCACACTTTATTAGGACGACGCCACTTCTGAAAAGGTCACAGGATTCAATTTCGTTGTCGCATCAGGAGTGGCATAAAAGAAGAAAAATAGATATAGATTCCAGTCCTGAATGAATCCTGTCACACGAGTCGCATCATCCCGATCAAATTAAATGATGATGAGTGGACCGAGTAGTGACACTGGCAGCAGCATCGTTTATTTTACCCACGCCTCCTCCTCCGCCATGGCGTTCACCTCGTCGTCGTCGCCATCATCGAGGAACGTCACGTCGTCCTCGTCATTTCCCACGATGACGACAATGCCCGATGGGGGAACGGGGGGACCTTCAACCGTTTCAATGTTTCAGTCATCCTTCGACGTGACTGGGTCGTCGACCATGCAACCCCCACAGGTAGTTGACTTACTTGTTACTTGTACGTCACCAAATTAGATAAGTAGTCATGACCAGAGAGCGGATATATATTTATTTCATAGATTGCAAAAACCTCAAAATATTTCCATATATTGTTACATATTTTCTAGGTTTTCAGACATACACATATTTCCGCTATTATTTGAAATTTATGTCAATCTTTTACAATTTTTTATCAAAAATATATACATACATTTGGTAAATATTTCAATGAGGTGAGACGAATTTTTTTCCTTCAGAAATTGAACCACTAAAAATCCATATTTCAAAATACAACTTTTTGCGAAAATTTTAATTTTAATAGTTTTTGTCGCATATTTGTCGTAAATATTTTGGCGTTTTTTTCATAAATATTGAATACATAGTTCAGCAATTTTTCCCAAATACATATCCGCCCTCTGATCACGACCATGGGTTTTGTCATGCCAGGATAAATAGATAGTCACATACATGCACACACCCGGCTCAATAAAAAGGATAGGATTTAATGACTCTCAGGAATTTGATGATGATTACAAACTAGGTGGGTTTGAGTTGTGAAAATGATTCTTCCATTCGTAAATTGGACAGGAAGTAGCCGGGAAATTAGGTAATATCCGTAATAGGATTGTTCAAGTTGCATCAAAAAGCAGAAAACCTTACGTGGATCAAGCATCCACACTTATCTATCTATAAAGGGAGGACTGTACTCATTAGGTTAATTGGGTACTAGAAAAATCCCGATACACGTACCTACAAATTATGATGACGCCAAGGTTTTCTTTCCTTTTGGTAGAAAAGGTGTCGTTTTTGTATGACAGGAATGAGACAAAATTTTTATAGACCGAGCTCAGAATGTGCTCATTGCATCGTGATTGGAGAAATTGTCTCGTGTCGTGATAGCAAATCTCGTCTCGTGATGGTCATGATCTCAGTGGCCCCGGAAGCTGTGGGGACATTAACATTGTAGGATAAGGGGAGGGAGGGGTTTGTGTAAGATAGGCAGATGATGCCGACATCGAATAAACATGGGGACATTATCCCTCACCCTTCCGCGGCCACTGGTCATCAGAGAGAGAAACCACAACGAGGGTGAGATTAGCCCGTGATGTGAAGTAGTCATCGTCCGTAATTTGGAGGATTTCCTGGTCATGTAACTTTCTCAATGGTCAATATTTACTTTGTCTGTCTTTTATGGGGATCTATTTATTAGAAATCGGGAGATTACCAGCAGTTGAGCGTGGCTTACACGGCCAGCGAAGGAGTCGTCTCCCTCTTGGCGATTTTTGGCAATGCCCTCGTCGTCTACGTCTTCTGTACGAATCGGAGTCTCCGAAGGTACAGGAATTACTACATTTTTGCCCTTGCCATTGCCGACTTTCTGGTCGGCCTGTTGGGAATCCCCTTCGCCGTCTTGTCCAGCATTGGGCTTCCCCGAAATCTGTACGGCTGTCTCTTCACCGTCTCCATCCTCATGGTTCTCTGCACTATTTCGATCCTCTGCCTCGTCGCCGTGAGTATCGACAGGTATTGGGCAACCACCAACCCGTTCGCGTACTATCGCCATATGACAACTTCTACTGCAGTGGGTAAGTCACTTTCACTCTCGTAGAATGTAACAAAAGTCGTAAAAATTAAGACCCTCAGAACAGTCCCGTAAATACATAAACGCAATGACATATATATGAACATATTTATGTAAATTGGCCGCGGAAGCTTGAGGGGACAGGGGGCAATGTCCCCAGGGTTGTTCGATGTCCCCATCATCTTCCCATTTTATATAAACCCGTCCCTCCCTATCCTACACTTTTAATGTCCCCACATGTCCCCACAGCTTCCGCGGCCACTGCTTATGTATGCACGATATCGGGTAGCCCGTCTCAAAATGAAGGGGAACGCTTTCCCACAAAATGCCACAAATGTATATCGCATTGTTTCAAGTATTCCCATTTCCTCGCAAAATAAAAGTTTGGAAAAAGAAGTATTACTAAAAATTTATGGGCTGAATTTACATGTTCTTCTATAAAAGGGAGCGATTGAGTGAATGGGTTCATTTCAGCCTCAACTCAAAGTCTCAACTTTCTCTAACCAACCAAACCACATAATGCAGTCATATTAAGTAAGTGAGAGAAAGTTGGTGAGTGCCGCACGTATAGGGACCAACACCAGCACCACTGCCACTTTTGGGATTACGTCTCCTCTTCTTGCAGACTTTGACAGATTGTCAAGTGACCCGTAATGAAAGATCAATCACAAATGCGCAGTTTGAAATATATGCCCTGTCAAATAAACAGCCTCCAGAAATACCTAACAATTGTCTATTTAAATGAACCTCACACTGAAAGTAGATGGATCGATTTTTTTCCAACAAGTTGTCTTTCTCTCCCGAAAAAAAAGTCTAGTCGAAAATACTTTTTTTCACCACCAATTTTCTCAATCGTGTAGATTACGCTTGTCATTTCGACACATTTTTCATGCAACTTTTTTCCCCCAACCTTTTGCCCTTTCTCGAAATAGTGGGGATTAAATGAGCACTTTCAAAACTTATTTTTATCTACTCCTTCCTTACGTAACACGGGATCGTGTCATTCGCCTCATTTGAATAATACACTAATTACCATAAATTCGAAAATAATTTTATGTAATCATTTTTTGAAATGAAATGTGCATTAATTTCCAGTTTAAAATGTTTGCATGTAAATACATTTCTTGCCGTGCCGACACCGCCACCGTTTATTTATGCTTGTCCAGTATTTTTGTTATGTGCATATTTTACCTGAAACTTGTCACTCTAAATATTCACGTTACTGAGAAAATTAGACGTTTGCGTGACTCTGTCAAGACGTATATCATCGTCTACACACACACATAAACCGTATTCATGCATGCATATTTACATACATGTGACTTTCCTGCCATACAACTTTCACTTTGTGCTGCACACTTCCTACTGCTCGTTTACACTCCGGTCTGATTTGCCCTTTCGGCCAGCTCAGCACCATTTCCTCGCCTTCTTTCTCACGTAAAACACTTTTTTTGTCTTGGTTCTTGGTGTTTTGCAATATAATATATGTACCTTTTCCATCATCAGTTCAATCCTAAATTTACATAATCAAGAATTTCCAGTGTCAACAGCACGAGTTAATCTGCAACTTTATTTCTTTCCGGTCAGAGTTGCTTCTTGTTTCGTTTTTGTTATATTTACCAGACCAGCGTTGATTACTGTTCACGGCCAAAGTCTCATTTTCTTCCGCGCGGTGGGTGGCCAATTAGTAAATATCCATTGGATCAGAGCCTTGGTTCATTGACCGCGGGGCGAAATTAGTCGAATAATTATGGACATTCGTACCTGGACCTAGCCGGAGTACCTTCATCATTTTCCTGGAGAGCACTGCAGTGACGTGAATGCATTCCAAAAGAGCAACCAATACCGAACCAACATGTGTATGTACATTCCAATGTCTGCAGTTTGGCTTAGGCAGTCGTATAAAGCACTCGAAAATGGGCGAATAAAAGTTTATTCATCGGTTTCGGAAGAACAGTTGCGGCGGCTGCTGCTGCCATACGACAACTTTTCTTCTCATTGACATCAAAGACATGACATAAAAGTTATCAAGCCACCTCATAAACAAACAAACAGCGAATGCGAACGAATGGGGCCACGCTATCTATCATTACGCCTCCGTTATTCTGTACACACATCACTTTCACTACTACCATCCGACCCGGTGAAAGCATACACACACACATTCCGCTAACCAACCAGTCATGACTCCGCTAATCAATGGGGATTACTTTGCTTTCATTCGGCGAAAATATGGTGGGCAACAGAGTCGTCTTTAATCATACGGAGGGGAGATGTACGTATGTATGAGTGGGGAAGTAATTAAAGTCAATTTACAGAAAAGTTTGATACGATGTGGGGAAATATTAGATATGCGAGAGGAGGACTGAACAGAACACCCTGTAATTTTGTTGTATTAATGTGAACTCAATGTTTAGACAGAAAATTACAAAGATCAACAATTAATGGGAGCTCAATGTTTAGACAGACAATTATAAGGAAAAATATTATTAGAATCTTCGTTTCATAACGTGTTGATGCAAAACTAGGTAAACATCTTAAAAATGTGTGTGCATCCAGACTGGCGTAAGTTTGTGCAGTGGCCGCGGAAGCGTTGGGACAGAGGGACAATGTCCCCACGGTTATTCGATGTCCCCATCATCTGCCTATCTTATATAAACCCGTCTCTCCTTATCCTACAATGTTAATGTCCCCCCAGCTTCCGCGGCCGCTGGGTTTGTGTCACACTTGTTGTCGGATTCACCTTTGTCGCACAAAATGAGTGTCTGTAACCTACAAATTAGGACTGCATGCATTACTCTTCCTTGTTTTGTTTTTTGTCTAACTGTTTCCCGATAAAAGAGATAATTGCGACAATCTGTTCGTCATTTACGGATACGATCGTCCTCGCATGTTTATCAACTCGGTCAAACCGGTAGAGCATATTTCTCGACATACTGTCATCCTGCCCTCCACTGGCGTGTTATCCCCCCGACTTCTTAACAAATTTGGCAATGATCATGACACCAAGATAAACTACCCCTTTGGGACGCTTCATTAAATATTAATGAGGCAAGCTCGGCGTTATTTCGAAGCCAGACTGGTCCTCCTTACAATGCAAGTGTTTTACGTGTACAACTCACAAGGGAACCTTAAGTACTGTCACCTCTCGATTTCCTTCCAAATGGCCTTAATCGACAGATAATTTGGTTAAACTAAAACTTTATCATAGAACATGCGGTGCAAAATCACGTTTTCGCGAAGTATTTGGCGAGAACTGCACCAAAACCTGTCATTTTACCAATGCTTTTAACATAGCCATCAGCCTTTCGAATGATGAAATGAACTTTAAGGAATATTGAAAAATTATATAGTTACCCGTCCGCGTGATTTCAGCCCGATTACGAATATGTAAAAAGTGATGCAAGCTTTTGCCAATTTTTTGCAAATTGCGAAAATCGGAAAAATTTCGCAAATTCGAATTTCTTCCTTTTTTAAATTCAACAAATTTTTCAGTTTAACTGATATACAAAACATTTCTCTTATTGCAAAAAAAATGCAAAAATTTGCAAAAACTGAATTTAGCAAATTTTTCATGAAAGTAAGTTAAATAACCAATGCTAGTCTATTTTTACGTATTTTTCGAAATTATTTGCGGTATTTATTTTTGCAAGTTGCAAAAACTTACAGGGTGCAATTTTTTAATTGAATATGTAGAATTTTTTGCAATGTTTGCATGTTTTAATTTTCCAACAAATTAACTTTGGTTTTATTCGCTCATACCTACATATGTGACAATTTTAAGTTTCTATAAAATTTAAACATTGGAACGTTCAATTTTTGCAAACTTTTGCAAATTTTTTGCAATAAGAAAAATATGTTTTGTATCAGTTAAACTAATAAATTTGTTGAATTTAAAAAAAACGAAGAAATTCGAATTTGCGAAATTTTGCAGATTTTCTCAATTTGCAAAAAATGTTCAAATCTTTGCATCATTTTTTGCATATTCGTGATCGGGCTGAAATTACGTGAGTACAAATATAATTTATTAAGATTCTACAAAGTTCATTTCATAATTCGAAAGGCTGATGGACATTTTAAAAGCATTGGGAAAATGGCAGGTTTTGGTGCAGTTCTCGCCAAATATTTCGCGAAAATGCGATTTTGCACCGCATGTTCTATGACAAAGTTTTAGTTTCACTAAATTATCTGTCGATTAAGGCTATTTGGAAGGAAATCGAGAGGTGACAGTACTTAAGGTTCCCTTGTCAGATCTGGTTGGGACCAATTTTATTTTGTTCGCCACAAAAAATAAGCATACCCATATTTTTTCATTTTTCATAATGCGCTAATTTGAGCGCGAGGCGCGAATTTTAAAACCTTTTTCAGCCAAAACCTTGGTTTTTAAAAATTCTGTAAATTTTCGAATTTTAGCGCGAATCCAAAAATTCGAAAACATATCTCTTCAGAATGACTTACTTGACTTATGAAAAACCCACATGCATTATTTTTTGAAAAGTTTAAAATTTTAAAGAATTTATAATTTTAACGAATTTCAAAAACTGGCAACGAATTTTGAAAATCAAATTTCGAGACAATTGGATTTTTCATAAGTCAGGTAAGTCATTCTGAAGAGACATGTTTTCGAATTTTTTGATTCGCGCCAAAATTCGAAAATTTACAGAATTTTTAAAAACCAAGGTTTTGGCTGAAAAATGTTTTAAAATTCGCGCCTCGCGCTCAAATTAGCGCATTATGAAAAATGAAAAAATACGGGTCTGCTTATTTTTTGTGCTGAACAAAATAAAATTGGTCCAAACCAGATCTGAGTTGTACACGTAAAAGACTTGCATTGTTAGTGTCGATGAGGACAAAATCATCCCTGCTCGCTTTTACATCTAGTCTAATTAATGTTGATTTAGTGGACTGGTGAGATATAAAATTCGAGATGCTGGCTTCTGGCAGTGCACATGGTTTTGTCGGGGTTTTGCAAAAATAGGATCAAATTTCGTTGTTAGCTATTTGAAACTGGTGAACTGGTGGTGGTGCGACGCAGATATGAGATCCGACTTTCTACCATAAAACGCGAGGAAATAGCGGCACTGAAAAAGTGACGGAGTTATATAAACAACCAGATTGCGTCTAAAGTGACTCACTCAACAAGTGAGTGACTCGATTCTAGGAGACAACAATTATTTATTTTTAAGCGATGTCTCATTTAAATACGTGTCTGAAGAACGGTCTTAAACGTTAAACTGTTGAGGGTGTCGCAGATTTACACAATTTATGTACTCACAATGGAGGTCTCCCAACGTATGAGCACATATTTGGACGAAACTAGTGTCAATTGATCACAAATTTAATAAATATGAAATTTGCGAAAGACACTATCTGCAAATGGGCAGAGATATTTGCATCCAGAGAGGAAAAAGCACGCCATAATGTTTCCAAATTTGAAACTTTCAAAATTTGCTGTCCGTTTTCTCCTCTCCGGATGCAAATATCTCCACTAAACCTGCGCATTGGCAGATATTGCCTTTTGCAAATTTCACAAGTAAATTTGTTATCGATTGAGACTAGTTTGGTCCAAATCTGTGAGCATACTTTGGGAGACCTCCACGGTTAGAACCCTTGTACACACAGCAGCGTACCAAATTCTGCTTTCCTTCCCCCACACTTTAGTGTACATAGATACGCATCCGTACAAATTCGCAGGGAGGGTGGTGTGGTGGGTGACGTAAAAAAAAGCAAAGTTGCTATTTTTGCACTTGAATGAAGCATGTCAAAACCTGATATCACTTCATCCCTGTTCAAACATCACTGCTGGCTGTCACCCGTTGTCGTCGACCTTCCCATTTTCGTGACAGATTCCAGAGAAAAAATTATCTCACGGTGAAATTATCAAGTACAGAGTAGCAATAATAAGTGCTCTATGTGCAGACTCATCACATCACCATCATCATCAGAATCATCTCTACTGCAAACCTTTTATCAGGCTGTTCTATGTATCTACGGCCTATTCATAATATTGTTTTTTGTCCCAACCCTCCAAGTATGTACATAGATATGTACCGACCTGTGGCCGCGGAAGGACAGGGGGATAATGTCCCCACGGTTATTCGATGTCCCCATCATTTCCCCATCTTATATAAATCCCTCCCTCCCCTATCCTACAATGTTAATGTCCCCACACCTTCCGCGGCCACTGCTGGAACCGAGCGAGTGAAAAGTATTAGAAACATATCACCAACTTTCACTCTCCCGTCGAGTGAGTGACTATCACGATACTTTTATAATTGGGATGTTTAACGAGCCCGTAATGATTGTACGAACAGTGTACATTACAGTCTCACATTTGACATTTTCTCTCTCGTCCATCTATTTATCTATTTCGGTGTGTCTTTTGAAAACAGCGAAATTAATTTTCGCACATCGTGTAGCGAATTGGCGATATGGCGAATCTACAGATATGCAAGCTCTTTTTTTTTAGAAAATATGCCATGTTTTCCATAGATGCGAGATAAGCTGAAAGATACATAAATAAATGGAGTGAAAGCCTTTATTCCAGTTTGGTGCAGTATCTAGATAAGTATTTCGGATAAGCTGAAACATGTGACACGTGCATCCATATAAAGATTGTGTGGTTATAAAATGCCGACATATTTGTGAAATATTGCATCACAATTTTTTTCCTGGCATGCGCTCCACTTAATTAATTTGTTTCGGTAATACCAAACATGTAAAAGTATTGTATTGTCTTAACAGAAGAAAATTTAGGGAGCGAATAAACAAAGCATTTTTGCAGCATGTTTGGAAGGTATGGACCACCACCGCCTATAAAAGGAATATTGCCACGCCTTACAGTCAATACAATTTATTTCACGTGCATTATTACCACTTCTACTTCTGTGCGAGTATATCTCGTGATCTGTATGAAAAAAAGTTTGTCTTGCTCCCACACAATTTTGATATTTACAAGTCAATTTCTTCTCGGAGTTCAAAATTGGTTGGAAAAGTGATGATGAAATTGTGCAGAAATACATGCATTTGCCACGATATTTTTTGTGAGATGAAAAATATGTATGATTTCATTGCTTGCATATGGACACGTGTACCTCTCTCGGTCTAATCCCAAGAATTTGTAGCAGGGCACAAAAAGAATGACGCCACCACTTAAGTTGGGGCATACAGTGGCCGCGGGAGCTGTGGGGACATCTGGGGACGTTAACATTGTAGGATGGGGGAGGGCCAGGTTTATATAACATGATGGGGAAATTGTCCCTCTGTCCCCACGCTTCCGCGGCCACTGTGTTTTTCTCATGGGGAAGCAATAATCGTCAGCCAGCATCTCTCGAAATTTGACACCACGGACTAATGTACGACGCTTTCTGAGTGCCTGACAAGCCAAGTATAGATATTTCTTATTCTTGTACGCAGGAATAATTCTGTCGTGCTGGATTGTGGGGGCCATTATCGGATTCCTCCCACTCTTCGGATGGTACAACCAGCAAGGATGGCTGCACATTGCGAAGGGCTCCTGCTACTTCCGCCAAGTCATGGACTACAACTACCTGGTCTTCCTCTACTTTGCGACCATCGTCTTCCCCGCTATTCTCATGGGATGCTTTTATGGATACATTTACCACGTCGTTCTCATCAAGGTATGCGCTTAATTATGCCACAGCCACGTAATTATTGTTGTTACGGTGGGAATATGGTATGCATGAATCAGTGGCCGCGGAAGCTTTAGGGAACAGAGGGACAATGTCCTCACGCTTATTCGATGTCCGCATCATCTGTCCATCTTATATAAACCCGGCCCTCCCCCCATTCCACAATGTTAATGTCCCCACAGCTTCCTCGGCCACTGATGCATATGTATGCAATTGACTTAAATTCGCGAGAATTTGTCCTCTTAAATTAATAGAATTTGACAATTTGTATCTGAGTTCTCCCTCTTATTGCAATGATAAGCAACACCAGGTTGCAAACGGGGATGATGCGGTGAAAGCCTGATGGTGAAAGTCTTAATGAGCCACTTTCCCGAGGAGAGAAAGTCGGTCTGTCACCATCTCCACTCCACCACCACCGTCCTTTTTTCGAGACCGTTTAAACAGGACAATAACTCCCACCTGCTGCGCGGAATGTTTCACTTATTGCTTTTTTTTCTTACAGATCCGTCAAAAAGGCAACCTGGCCCCACAGTTGCGCCGACCATCAGAACAATCTCGGTCTGGATCTTTAAACTCGGACAACAGAGGGGCATCTCAAATCCTTCGAATTGTTGTTTCCGAGAAGCGAAGGGAAGCCAAGGCAGCCCATAAACTTGGAATAATCGTCCTATTTTTCATGATCTGCTGGATGCCCTTGTACACCATCAACTGCATCACGGTAAGGCATCCCGCCCGACATTATCATAAACACATGAGGGGAGAAAGAGCCAAAGAAATTTCTCAATGTCATGGAATGCCTGTGAGCGAAGGATCAAGTTGCGAAAAGAGTGGATTATAGGCCAGAAATGTAATATGGATGATGCGACGATACAGATTTTTCTCTTTTAGATAAAATTTCCAATTTTCTTCACCTCCCCACTTTTCACTTCTCACCACCCACCTGTCCATCCATTGGCCGCGGAAGGGTGTGTGTGGACAGAGGGACAATGTCCCCACGGTTGTTCGATGTCCACATCATCTTATATATATATAAATCATATCTGTTCAAAAATTTAGTTTTCATTCAAATGTCAGTCATCCCGATTTCTGACTGAAGATGTGCATCATTTTTGTTCAAACTCATTTCATTTCACTTCATCCGACTTCAATTCTTCCTGCGCCCCATGTATGAAGCATAGGGTAAAAAATGAAATGAGTAAAAAATCACAGTCATTCATCTGAAATGACAGAATCCTTCAGTCATTTTCATTCAAATGGCAGGAATTTCATTTTCATTCACTATCATAATCAGTCAAATGAATGAAAGTGAACAGGTATGATATAAAGCCGTCCCTCCCCATCCTACAATGTTAACGTCCCCACATGTCCCCACACCTTCCGCGGCCACTGTGTCCATCCATCCATCCGCTTGATATCGATTGTTGCTGAATATGAACTTGTGCCAGTAATCTTCTCCTCTTATCTTTTTCCAGGCTTTCTTCCCCGACACCGAGTTTAGCATCGAAGTGCTCAATTTCACCGTCATTCTATCCCACGCCAACAGCAGTTTAAACCCACTCCTGTACGCCTACCATCTCAAAGAGTTCCGCGGTGCTATGAAGAACGCTTTGCTGCAGCTTTTCGAAAAACTTTTGTGCGGTTTGATGGGTGGTCGATTAACGAAAGATGCTGGACCATTAAGTAGGAGCCATACCTTACCATCAATTGCCGCCGCGGCAGCCACGACCACTTCGTCGTCGGGCCGAATCTGCACAAAACTGCGTCGCTCATCCCCCTCAAATATTGTCAAGGATAACACCTCATCAGCATCGAGATCTATCCAAATCTCGCCAAGGCAAGGGCTCATCATGTCAAATTCGGGTCGAGACCACCCACACAATCTCACCACGACCACCTCGACGGAAAAATCCTTCACCAGCTTGTCCAGCGAGGAGAACCTTCGGGTAGCATTCCAAGATGAGTTTCGCACCACCCAAATCTCACCCGGAAAGAAGATTGAGCCCGATGCCGTCGAACTGATGGATGCCGTCAAGAATTCCAATATCGAACAGGACCAAACAACAATTCAGGAGAACAGAATTAGTCATGGGATTGAGATTCATGTCGTGAACGAGGATGGCGAGGTGGGTGAAGGAGACGATGGCGAGGAGGAGGATGTTGTTGGTGGCAAGTCGGAAAAGAAAGCGGTTCATCAGAAGACCAGCACGGAAGTGGATGATAGGAATGGAAACATTCCCACTGCTGGGAACACTAATGAATTGGATGCTATCACAATGGCGTAGGAGAGTTAAGGGATGACGCCCCTTTTAAAAAAATGTATAACACGATGGGATAAACTGGTTGCTGATGCTGTTATTATTAGCTAAAAAATAACAGCATATCACTTGATAGTTATGTTTTAGATGATTATTTTTGTTTCGTAACAGTATCGGTTTTAGCTCAATTTTGGTGAAATAGAAGTCATATGTAGCAGTTTGCTAAATGGTGATGTATAACTTAAGAAAGTATTATTTACCCTGTTGATCAGTGTTAGTGTTACGTAACTTGGTTCTACGCTACACTATTTTAAATTCAATTTAAAATCTGTACCTTTCCAAAGTGATGGATTGATTTAGTTTAATCTGGGAAGATATGTTTTATCGCTCAGTTTACAATTTGCAATCCAACCTTTTTCCACACTGACTTTGTTAAATTGCCCGTTTTTGCGACGAATTGTGCCGTGGAACGCAGAACTTGGAAGGAAGAAAGAAAGCAAGAAGGGAACAAATATGTAGTAGCAGTTGAATGACGGGCTTCTTTTACTGATGGTGTAAAGGAAGAGAGAAAGTGCAAAGGCTGGCAGAGCAAGTAACGCTGCCTCCGATTTTCTGATGGTCAATGCCAATCTACGAAACCATTTATTAACCTGGTCAATCGACACTGAACGTATTTATGTAACCGATTTTGGCAGAACGCTGCAGGTGTCCAAAGGAAAGGCGGCGTTCGCCCAGAAACGTATATAGTATTAGCATCATTTCTTTAGTATCATCACTGCTTTAAAGTCATTGTAAGGGGAATATACATAGCTTAGCTGAGAATTTCGTATCCAATTAAAAAAAATATGTATCACCACAATATTCCAAACCTTCTCAGGTATCACTGCATTTTGGGAAGGTAAACTTGTATACCGTATTTTTGAAGTCATGCTTTTAAAGGGGGGTTCTTATGTTTACCGGTTTTCTGACACATGTGGATGGATGGATGAATGAAAGCCGTGAACCCGTCAACATTCACGATCCTTCATCTTCACCGTTTTCCTGGAATAAATGTAGGATCGTGATGATACAGAAGCTTCAGGGACACGCAGTAGGCATAGACTTACTGGATATCATTATAGACTTTGGTGCGTGGGTGAAAGTTTTGACTTGGACGGGTCGTTAACTTCACAGAATTATAGATTGGTCTGGGAGAAGTCAAGGTCAGCAGGTTTTTGATAAATTATGTGACTACGTGGTGCCAGAGCACATACAACAAATTCTTGGAAGCAGTTTTCACTTTTCATCGTCTCTCTCTCTTTCTCCGAGAAACTCGATGAACAACAATTAACCAGAGTTATTAATTAGTCGAAAAGTTTTCGTGGTTAACTACAAATTGTGCTTGAAGTTTATTAGACAAATGTCACCACGACTTGGGGAGGCAAATGTAGACTAATGATACTTAGGAATAGCTTAACTTGATGTCCTACAGGCTCTTGTGTTTCGTAAAAATTTGCTGTGAAGGTATCCAGTTCTGAATGTTTGCATGCGTTATTTCGTGTTATGTGCAAGTGTATAAAGTATGTTCAAAGTTTATTTCTATATCTCACTACTAAAGTATATCTAATAATTTATATATAATGCATAGATAGATAGTTCATAATATGAGCGTAGTAATGATAATTTTTAGTCGCAAACTTGACAAATGTTTTCGAAATCATGACCTGTGTGTACCTACATAATTCTTCAATGATGATAAAATGCATTCAATTTTAGTAGAAACGTAGAAAATTATCTGTATTTAGATGAAAATGAGACTAAATTAGAGTATGCATACATTAATTAATTATGCAGGAGAGAATTTCAGAATTGATTTTAGATTAACTTAACTTGACAAAGTGTTACATAGTTATTGAATTAGTATAATTAAAGTAATAGTTTATCGTACTTAATTAAATAAAGTATATTTAAATCCTATTTCTCACTTTCGGCAAAAAAATCAACTCTCTCTTTCTCCAACCCAATTGACAAATACTTTAAACACCAATGTATAATTATCATTGAACGTTAAAATTACTCGGTAGTAATGTTATTAAGTAGTTGTAGTTCTTAATTAAATGATAAACTACTTACATATTAAATATGACTCTCTGATAAGTTTTAAAATACCGATATTGTGGTATATTTGGTATATTGTGTTTCAAAATTTATGTAGAAAAATGAGACATTATGAATTATTTGCAGTTTACAGTTTACTTTTACCCATTATTTATTGAAGAAAATGATCTCATATACTTAAATCTCAATCTTAATGTTATGTATGTACATAAAATCTTAATGTTACTGGAATTGACGTGATATTTGAGCAACAATAAATAAAATGAACCAATATAATTCAGGCACTTTGTTCTGTATTCATGAAACATTTAATTGCACGTTGATTATCAAGGATGGGCAAAATACTTGGTAAAATTACAGTATTTTGAGCTCCGTTCTTCTCAAGGTTGCGATTTCCGGGGGTGTTACACGCAAAAGAGGACGAAAATCTACTTCGAGAAGGGAACAGTCATACGAAAATGCACGTTTTTGTGAAGAAATTTATTTTTTCGCTGTTAAAATATATCGAGGCAATTCTTGGTAACTTTGTAAAATATTTTGCTATATGTACTTGTATAATTGATGAGTATTTATATTTTGTAGTGCAGGGCGCATGTAAATACATAAACCCACACATTTGAGACATGACGTCCTATGCACATTTACGCACATGTTGTCACAACTCGTGATTTTATAAAGAAAAAAAAAGAATATTTAGATAAGCACGTACTTATTTTCGGACGGAATGTTTTGCTAAAATTAGTGGCAGTCCGAAACTCGATCCGCAATTTAGTTGTGACCAACATAGCACAAGATTTGACGCCCTGACCGAAACAACTACTCGTGAATAATTTACATACCGTCAATATGGAATGTGTTTGATTATACCCGAGTTACATATGAGTAAAGTGCATGAAGTGCAATCTGATCTGAGTTTTGTTGATAATGAAGATAATACAGAATGAATCATAATATTTTGCACTGATATTCGACCTATGGTCAAATTATTTGTGTCGATATCAAGTCAAAATGCGTATACAAGAGTGATCGTGGGAAAAGAATTCGTTAGTTCAATATATAGGTTTCTTACATAATTACATACGTCTATTTATCTTCAAATTCTTCCAGCGTTCAATCCGATTTGTTGAAGAAAATATACGAAATTCAAGGTAGTGCTGTTGACGAGCTATAATCGAACCTACGTTGTGGACTCAAAAAATAAAATTCGAGTGGTCTTAATTTTTCACGGTTCGATTATAGCTCGTGAACAAAACTAATTCGAGGACATGATCTTTCCAGTGTTTAACTTTCTGTCAACGTAGATATTTCTCGGAAATATTTGGGACATTGTAAGGTAATAATTTAATATATGTACATATTTAGATCGTTGTCGATTCGGGTGCATTTTAGACATTTACATACAACACGGGATTTTACTATATGTCCCACCACATTACACTACAGGAAATGGAGGAAACGTTGCTACTCTCCAAAGGACGATGCAGAATTGATGGATTTGAAATTGACAAAGCGCAAGTTGAACGTACCTTCATCATGATAAAACCAGACGGGGTTCAGAGGGGTTTAATTGGAAAAGTTATCAACCGTTTCGAGAAAAAGGGTCTGAAATTGAAAGCCATGAAGTTCATGATGGTGAGAGAATAGTTATTTATTTAAACATCTTATTTACCTTTATGGTAAATTTTGCATAATTTGTAAACATATGTAAATATGTAGTGTAAAATTTGGAACCCTATTTGTATTTTTTGATAGCCTACTCCTGAACTGATAAAGGAAATGTACAAGGATGAAAAGCATGAGCCATATTTTGATAAGCTGCTTTATATCATGACCTGCGGTCCAGCGGTTCCAATGGTACATATGCAATTTGCATATTCGTTCCAATTGTTTTGCATTACGCAAAACAAACTTGAATTTTTTTCAAATTCTTTTAAAAACGTGTACGAATATATAGATTTGGGAAGGCGTGGACGCCGTGGGCGTGGGAAGAAGGACGATCAGCGAGTTAATTACGGAAAACTCTTTGCCAGGGAGCATCCGAGGTGATACCAGTATCCACGTGGGGAGAAACGTTTGTCACGGGGCGGACAACCAGCAAGAAGCGGATATGGACATTGCCCTCTTTTTTGGTGACCTTTTGGAAACGATGTCCAAATCAGTTTGATTTGTCTTAAGCAAAGAAAACTTCTAACACATGACGTGACGTATTACAGAAAATGTAAAATGATAAAACTTGTTTCAAATCATACGATGAAATAATGAGTAGAAATACAGAGCAAGAATTTTTTATAAGTTCAGAACAAGTCTTTGTACCATATTTCAATTTTTGTTTAATTTACCTCATGAGTCATGACGTGATCATTGTTACAAAAGTTGTTTTTTTAATTTAATGACGCAATTCCTATCCATTTTTTGATGTGACACTTTTTTATGATCCTATTAAACAATGTATTTTTGACAGCAATAAAAAGATAATTTCTTTACAAAACCTGTACTTTCGTCTGACTGTTGTATCCTCCACGCACATAGATTCTCATCTTTTTGTGGGTGTGACAGCCCTTGAAATCCAATCCCTGGGAAGAACAGAGGTCAAAATACTGTATTTTTACCAAGTATTTTGACCTTCCCTGCACGTTACCTGTTAAATGTGGCGACATTTTCGATAAGTGATGGATGCAAAATTTGAGATTTTTAGACAAATGATGAAATGAGACTCAATTTCGTCTCAATTTTGAGATTTTTTAAGCATACACTTTTTTGCACAAGTGACGTGAGGCGAGTTGAGTTGCTCTCCGTGGGAAAAATATACTTCGTCTCGTATTTTCTCGTATGGTCGTGTTTTACATAACGTATTTATTTATTTTGCGCATAAATGTGGTCACATTTTAACCGTAATTAGTCCAGTATTTTTAGAGTGGGGGGCAGAGCAGGGTTGTGATGACTAACGAGTCTCAGCTCGAAGAATTGGAAGTACTCGCATCCATTTATGAAGGTGATCCCAACTTTAAACAGATTAAGGATGACACATCCCAATATAAAGTAAGTTAATGAAATCATAATAATTAATGTCGATGACTTTAATAATAATTAAACTTGTATAACTTTAGCTAGGCGTTGAAGGAGACAAGTCTACCGTTTTAATTGAAGTTCAATGGCCTCCAGAATATCCCGAAGTGGTGCCTATCTTTAATCTTGGAGCTTTCTACAATAATCACCTGTAAATTATTTACAACACGATTAGGAGTAATTAAGACTTGTTATAATAGTAACTGAATGCCTACTGTTAAACAATTGCAGGTCTTCTGGTGCAAAATCTGCCTTACTGACCGCTCTAAATGACGAAGCCGAACAGAATGTTGGGATGCAGCAAACTTTCACGATGATCGAATGGGCGAAAGAGAACTATGACGCCCTTATTACGCCACACCTCTCCGAAGATGTTTTACCATCGCGGATCGAATCTATGAGTCTGGGGGAGAATAAGGTAAAAACAAAAGTACATATTGCCCTTTTGTAGCTGGAAACTGCTATTATTTCATCCTTATATGACCACCTGTCTCCTTATTTACTTATGACAGGGAAACGAGGAAACTGCTAAAGTGAAGGTGAAAAAGGAACAATTATCCAAAAGTCAGAAGAGGAGGGAGTGGGACCGTGTCGACAACAAGGGGGAGCGACCTCGCGGCTATGACTGGGTTGACGTGGTGAAACATCTCTCACAAACTGGGGGACGGCCAGATTGGGGGGATTCTCAGCAGCAAACTTCACTCCCAGACTCGTACCTATCTCCAGCTAATCTTCCTAGTTGAAATTATTATGTTCAATCAAACATATTATATCATCTAAATTATTGTGACAACACAACATGAAATTAAAGTCTATTTCGAATAATATTTTTAAAACGGTTAATTTGGAGAGTTAATACTTTTTATAATTCATAATATTTCATTGCATCTTTTATACATATTTTGAAACATTTTGAAATATTGACATATTTTGGAATACATTTTAAAACAAGACGTGAATCAGTTTAATCAGTAGGATTTAACGAGGCTAAAATTGTTTGTATCCAGTAAGCTACTTTATCGTAAGTTATAAGCATGGTTTCAATGGCTTAATTTGTGATTATAATTAATTAAACAAATTTTAATTTATGTTTAAAATTTTAAAGGTAGAATTTTCATTTTGTTGAGGAAAAGTATAATTCGACTCGTCCTCGTGGATCTCACCATCCCCTAGCCGTCAATCAGGAAATCGACCGTTAAACAGTAGGTACAGCCATTTGCATTTCTACTCTCATGTGCGATGCTGATTTTTGGACAATTTACTTTTATCTACTAACTACTAACACTTCCATAAGAGTCCACCCTTCCGACCTTTTACCCCCGTCCACGGTATTTGGATCTTTTTTTAAATCTTGTATGAGATTGAAGAAGTATCGACGCCACTGTTACAGAAACGATAAGACTCGACGAGACTACTATATTTTATTTCCGTAATTTATTTATTTTTTTCTATCGGTAACTGTTCACATTTCTTGTAATTCTAATTAAACTAAACAGTAAAACGATATAGTTAAGTATGTTGAATTTAACTTTCAAATCTTGCAGTTTTAGTAGCATTTTATTCTATAATTCATTTTATTCTATAATTATAAGCAGCCTTTTCAAATTATTGTCGAACTCGGTTAAATTGAATTGTACTAACTAACCCTCCTCATTACTCCTCAATTACAGGATTCGATATCGCCTTAACCATGGGACAAGGCCAATCCACTGCCTCTTCAGGGAATGTAGTTCAAGAGGAAGGTCATCGTAACAAGCGGCCAAGGTCCGAATTTGAAGCACCCCCTTCCAATCCGAATGTTCCTCCACAACAACCTCTACGACCCATTAAGCTCCGTGGTAAGATGTCAACATACAACGCCTCAAAACAAGGAAGAACGGGCCAAGAGGGTTCCTGGAATATAGGTCTAATCCTCAAGAACATCAAGATGAGGTTTGTCCCAACATATTCTAATTTCACGTTTCGTAAACCCCGAAGCCCAACTAAAAGGAAACGCGGCGACAATAGTGAAGAAGAAGAAGAAGACGACCAAGAAATAATGGAAATAGAAGATGAAAATGGCTCTGGAACATCTCAAGCAATCGTTCCGTGGAGTGATAAAGGGCGAAAAATTGCGCAAGGTTGGCGCAGATTGCAGCAACCCCCAAAGGAAATGGAACTCGATTGATTAACCTGTAACCTCTCAATTGTCTAATTTTACATTAATCCAGATTTTATTTTTAATCCATAATAGCTATGGGAACAATATATATATATGCCCCGACGCTATGTTGCCCATGTCAATATCCTCTCTCCACGTATATAAGGTAGAAAAAAACGTTCTTTGTGAGCCAAGCTCAAATGCTCCTCAGTCAGTGTAAATTCTGAATAAGGGTGACATTCATTCCTTTTTGAGCCGCTTTAATTCGGTTAAAATTTAAAATAGAAAGGAAAATTTTCTAACGTTTTAAAATTTTTATGATATTTGTACTGGGGCTGTTAGTAAAGTGTAGTAAAAAAATTTTATGTTATTGTCGGAATTAAAAGCTGAAATTGAATTTATACCAGTTCACAGTTTATCAAAATTATTCAATATTATGTTTGATAAGATAGGATAATTAGTTTTAGTGTCATCGGCCGGCTCCTTTAGTGCATTATAAGAAGTTTAAATTAGTTATAATGGGGTCACATTCGAATAAAGTGGTTGCTTATTTTTACGACTCGGATGTTGGCAATTTTCATTATGGTAAGTAATCCACAATTTAAATACCGTCACTTAATCTGGTCAAAATTAATAGGATGGATTATAAACATTTTTTTAAATATTAGGATATTTCAATCTGTTAACAGGGGCTGGTCATCCAATGAAGCCTCACAGACTTTCAGTAACACATAGTTTGGTTTTAAATTATGGGTTGTACAAGAAAATGCAGCTCTACCGACCTTACCGAGCCAGTGTTCACGATATGTGTCGATTTCACTCGGAGGAATATATCGAATTTTTGCAAAGAGTGACCCCACAAAATATTCAAGGATTTACAAAAAGTCTTAGCTCCTTTAATGTGGGAGACGATTGGTATGAGTGCTTACATAATATTTATACACTTTTGTAATTATTTTGTGTATACTTATCTTCTACTTTTAAAATTACAGCCCTGTGTTCGACGGTCTGTTCGATTTTTGTTCCATGTACACCGGTGCTTCGTTGGAAGGGGCAGTAAAACTTAATAATAAATGTGTCGACATCGCCATCAATTGGTCGGGAGGGTTGCATCATGCCAAGAAAACGGAGGCCTCAGGATTTTGCTATGTGAATGATATCGTCATTGCTATTTTGGAATTGTTAAAGTATGTAACAAAATTGTGTACAATTTGTGAAATTAAGTATTTTACATAATTTGATTACATTTTGTTTATTCAGATATCATCCCAGAGTTCTTTACATTGATATTGATATCCATCATGGTGACGGAGTTCAAGAAGCATTTTATCTAACGGATAGAGTAATGACGGTGTCTTTTCACAAGTATGGAAATTTCTTCTTTCCTGGAACAGGTAGTTTTTTATTATAAAGAATGAATTACAGGTTTTTGGTACATAGTTAATTTAAACGTTTTTTAAATATTTAACTTTAGGCGACATGTACGAGGTTGGAGCCGAAAGTGGTAGATATTACTCTCTTAATGTTCCATTAAAAGAAGGGATTGATGATTCAAATTACGCTCAAGTTTTTAAACCGGTTATCCAAGTATGTCATATTTCGTATTTGTTTTCCTTTGATCCTCTCTTGATTTCAACTTGAATGTAAAATTGTTGCTGTAATGATGTCCAGGGGGTCATGGAGTTTTATCGACCAACTGCAATTGTACTCCAGTGCGGGGCCGACTCGCTAGCAAATGACAGATTAGGTTGTTTCACCCTTAGTACGAAAGGACACGGGTAATAACCTCCTCTTGTTCATGTTTTGTTTAGTGTTATTAAACTAATATTGACTAAAACGTGTTACTTTATGATTTAGTGAATGTGTCAAATTCGTGAAGGAGCTAAATGTCCCCTTGCTGGTGTTGGGTGGTGGGGGGTACACCGTACGAAACGTTGCTCGCTGTTGGACATATGAAACATCTCTGCTAACCGATGAGTCTATTTCCAATGAACTTCCATATACTGGTAATTACTTAAATGTCAACTAATTTGTGATTCCATTGGTAAAATTGTAACACTCAATTATACTAATTCTTCTATTTCTTTAGAATACTTTGAGTATTTTGCACCAGATTTTACACTGCATCCTGAGGTTGTAACTCGTCAGGAGAACGTTAATACGAAACAGTATCTAGATTTAATTGTCAAGCATGTATTAGAGAATTTAAAAATGTTGGATAATGCACCCAGGTACAGTGTCAACAAATTAATGAGTTATGAAATTGTATGTATAATTTTAATCCATATTGCTCACTTTTAATCATCTTATTATTCCAGCGTGGAAATGCATGACGTTCCTCCAGATGCCTTAAGCCTTGATGTTGTCGAAGAATACAACGACAATGAAAGAATTCACCAATCTGAAGAGGATAAACGTGTCGAGCCCGCAAATGAGTTTTACGATGGAGACAAAGACCAGGATGGTGACACGGAAATGCCAGAAGACACGTGAACAATAACGTCAAAGTATTTACCACGTAATTAATCTTACTCTATGAAATAATCGTTGTTTATATGTAACTTGGCTAGGTATATTTGGGTTTCAGTTAGTTGAGCACAATTCCCCCCCCCCCTCCACTTATTATTCATAATGTAATTTACAAAGCCACGTTCTATTCATGAAACCTGGTTTTGAGCAGTACTTAATTTATAAGGGATGTTGTATATACTTTTACTTACTTTTACTTGCATGCATATGTAATGCGGTCATGTAGATGTTGGCCTGATCTGTGATCCATTATTTTTCGTAACAGGAATTATTGTTTATTGTTTATTATTATTATTGTTTCTTAGCATGCTCCGAATTGGTAGCTATATACTTTCAGTGAACGTTATATCCGTCCATCTGTCTGTCTGTCGAACATTTTGAAGTTCTACCGTCGAATATTTAGAACATCGGGTATAACCTTCGATCGTAGAGGTTACCAAATTTTAAATACTAACTCCAATTTTATGTGGTATCATTATTAGAAATAAGTATAAGGTATATGACATTACAAAATATGACGTGCCCTTCGGTGTGGGGTCAAATCAGCGCACCGCATAGAATAAGATATCGTTAGAACGCTGTGGGAAATGGGATGAAATTTGCAAATTGTTTACCTCTCCGCCACCTTGAGAGAATCGTCTAGTGTTTTGAAAATCATTAATTGGGTTTTGGATACGTATTTATGTACAACGTTCATTCAAAGTATGTACTACCGCTACTTTTTTTATATATCTGTTTACTATCGTTTATTGTTGAATAATACATTATATTTGGTTGTGTTTATGCCGTAGAAAAATGTTTTACCTTCACGTCAGCCTCATCGAACAATAGACAATCATACACAATTTGTTTCCATCACCATTACACTTTCATTCATTGTTAAGATGAATTGTGTTTTAAATGATTTGTAATTATTTAACCTGATTAAATCATTTTACAATTGGATGGATTTCTCCATGTTAAACATATTTTTAATTCGGTAATGTCCCAAAGTTTTATACAGTGCACTAATAGATATGTCTTATGTGGATACCAGTTTGTATGCTGAATTTAGATGTGCAAGTCTTTGCTACTGTGCGTGGTTGGTGGGTGGGTGTGTTGATTATATATTTTGAATAAATCCATGAAAAACAAAGCAACGTGTTTGCATACCATGTATGCAGCAATTTCATTTGTAAAATCGTACATAGTGACGGAATTCACGTCAACCTTCGTAAATTTACGAACTTTTGACGAAACTTACCAACATTTCTAAAACAATTTGTTACTTACCAACTTACAAAACTTTACGAAGAAGATGTAAGGCATGTTTTTGGTTCGTAAGTTTACGTGATTGATTACAGACTTACGAAAGTTGACGTGAATTGCCTACATACATATACAGCTCGATACATGGATAGATAATAAGATTAGGTTTCCGGATTTTGTCAGACTTTCTCCTCTGACGCCTCCACATCTTATTATCTTCTTCTCTCCTCTGTTGTATGTAACACTCTGTGTATAAAGACTGCTCCGTGATGAAATGGTTTTCTCTGCTAGTCGGACGGACGGAAACTGGACTTCTTTCTTTGCAAAAAATCCATGCAGCGTTGCGGTGTGTGGAGTAGTAGGAAAGCAGAGAAAAGGATCATTTATATACATACATACACAAACACACCATTACAAATTCGGGACGACCAGGACCGAGACTTTCTCTCTGCTCTTTCTCTCTTTCTCTGGATCATGGAGAAAGTGGTTGAGGAGTAGGGAAGGGTCCAACGTATGAGGAAATCGATACTCATGCCAAATGACTCACGGCCATAAGAGAAATAACACATGAATTAACAGTGCGAAACTTTACACAGCTTGCCTTCCTCTCCTCCTCCTGCTGGTGAAAATGGCTGATTTCGAATTTGAAGAATTTCGAAAATATTTCGACCGTCTCCCACAATACATCAAAGCTCCGGCAGATATTTATACGTAAGTTGAGATTACTTATGGTTTGGGAAAGTGTGTGGGTTGAAATTGTGGAAAAGCAGTTTTTACCAGACTTTGAAGAAGAGAGAAAGTTTAACTGATTCTTAAATATTCATGATACTCTTTTTTCAAAGTTGTCTTAAATTGAGGGGTGTTTTCACGGTGTGGATTTTTTAGTAAGATCCATCACCGTTTGAAGCAGACAAACTAGAGTTTAAGATTTTGTTAACCCACAGTTTTTTGTACATCACTTGTATGCATATTTACAGATTGGTGCACGATATCCCGGAATTGATGGAGGATGGACCTGAGCAGCAAAGTCCGAAATCAGGCCTCATCCCAGACACAGATTATAGCGAAAATATCGCAGAACCATTTTCAGGAGATTTGCAACTTATTCCAACAGACAGAGATGAACGTTTGAGTACGACGAGGAGACGGAGAAAATTACCAGAAATTCCTAAAAATCCTGCGCGCAGATGTATGTAAAGAAACTAATCATTTTTATATTATCATAGTAATGATTTTGTTAACTTGACCATGCTTGAATTTGCAGGGAATGAGGAAACACGCCAAATTTCATTAGCAGAAGAAATCTTAGACGCGGACAAAAATGTACGATCTTTGTCTAATTTTGGGAATGGATGTTTCGTACAGCAGCCTCAATTTACTAGTTTAGTAGCTAAAAGTGAAAATTGTTCCGGTTCGAGGCCAATTTTTATCCTAAAGTTGAATAGTTTTAATGGAGGTAAGAAAATTAGTGGAATTACATGATTAGTTTAGCATAGTAGTTTATTTTGTAGTTTTGTGAATCTAGACCATTGATTTATGGGGAATTCTCCTGCTTTCTCTCACCTTATTTTTCTTAATTTAATAATTGTAGTTAGTTAAATAAGTAGCTGATATATTTTCCATTCTAACAAAATTAAGGAGACGAAGGCAGTTCCCCAGATTCAGAACTTTATCCAAGTTTGGACTCTGGGAACTCGACCATTCATTCTGAAGACGGAAGCAAACCATACTCACCCCAAGTCCCATCCGTTAACGGTAACTACACGAGAACAATTCAATCCCTAAATCAATTAAATTTAACTAATCACACTAAATTTCTTGCCACAATTTAGAATCATTTTCTCCAGGATCTCCCACCTCATCCGGTGTTCTCTGTACTCACTTGGAAATACTAGAAGCCACACATCGTGGCTTGCACAAATTCGTGCCAAGACATCACGACGAAGTCGAAGTAGACATTGGTGACCCGATCTACATGCAAAAAGAAGCCGACGACTTGTGGTGTGAAGGTACATATCATTTTTCATGTACCATTTGATCCTGCATTATTCAACAGACTCATAAAATGTCATTTCATGTCATTACAGGGGTAAATTTAAGGACTGGGATGCAGGGGATATTTCCTTCCGCATACGTGGTTGACGTGGAATACAATGACTTTGACCCAACGGCCAATAAGGTGAAGAAAGAGAGGTATCTTCTCAACTATGTGGGCTCAATAGAAACACTGTATCACAAAGGGAACGAAGTATTGTGTCAAGCTGTCAAAAAAATATCACGTCACGAAGGCTACGTCGCGTCGCATAAGAGGCCCTGCATTTTGGAAATTTCTGACCAAGGGATTCACATGTTAGACAAGGCAAAGACTTCAACGGTGAGGGAATCTTGAGATAAAATTCATACAGGAAATTATATATTAATTTCTAACAATGAATTCTAGCCTAATCATGCACTTTCGTGTCATGATTACTTTTACGCACTCAAGAACGTCTCGTTCTGCGGTTTTCACCCAAAGGACCATCGATACTTTGGCTTCGTTACGAAACATCCTACACTTAATCGATTCGCGTGTCACGTTTTTATTTCCGACGACTCGACCCGGCCGGTGGCTGAGGCAGTTGGGTAAGTAAGAAATCGGGTGGAAATATTTGTAAGGATATTGGAAATATACACTTGAATTGATTTACATACGTTTTTGCTTGCAGTCGAGCGTTTCAACGGTTCTACAAAAAGTTTTTGGAAACGGCATATCCAATTGAAGATATTTACCTGGAGTGAAAATAGAAGGATTTAACCTCGGAAGGAAATTCCTTTCACTGACATACTAAAATACACACCAGTTAAACAATAACCTTGTTAATTTCCATGAAAGTGTGACTAGAACGCAAAAAACTTCCTAAATACGAAAAAAATAACATTTTGCTTAAAGTTGAAGCTTATTATGTGGAAAATAAACTGTTTGTTGATGAAACCAGTATTATTTGGTCATTAATTTGAAGCTGTGTCATACCACTGACGATGAGACTTACTTATCAGCTCCCAGCATACTCTCAGATTTTGGTTGAACTAGTGTCAATCGATAACAAATTTAATTGATATGAAATTCGCAAAACTTGCCAATGATCAGGTTTAGAAAAAAATGTTTGCATCTGAAGAGGAGAACACGTGCAGTAAATTTGGAAAGTGCAAAATTTGTCATGGTCAATGACCATTGGTCATCATATCAAATACTGATTGAGTAATTGATTAAAATTTGTCAACCTTAGAGCTAGTTTTCTCGTCTTCGGATGCAAATATCTCCGACCTGACCATTGAGAGATCGTGTCATTTAGAAATTCCATATTAATTAAATTTACCATCGATTGACACTAGTTTGCTCAAAATCCGAGACAATACGCTGGGTGACCTCCATTGTAAGATGACCTTAATAATCCAGATGCAAAGTCGAGACGTCGTTTTCGATAAAGATAAGCTAACCAACCTCTACGATGGCGATGAGCTTGGAAATTCGCATTGTATTAATCATCCTCGTTTTGATAATTCATTAATTTTCACATTTCAAAAGATACAGACAATATTTTATTATTAAATGAAAATATTAATGCACTAAACGTTTCAGTGGAGGCGAATCCACATTATTTTTAAAAAATTACCATTAGGAGACGTTACTTGAGTTGAAATTTTTAAGGAAAACTTTCTCGTATTCGGTGGTTGTTGGTTTGCTGGAGCATGAAAAAAAGCCGTCCTACAGCAAACCATGATTTTTTCTCCGTTTGCACGGGGATAAGCTGGGTACCGTTAAAAGTACCTGGTGGATTGTATCCATCGGATACCTAAGGGTTCTGTCCTAACGGGCGGGCCCACGACTAATTAAATCAAAAGACATTACCAAACAACAATCAGCAGCGAAAATTTATTTTATGTCTGTTGTTTTTTTACATTATGTGAAAATTGTAGTAACTAAATTTATGAAAAAATGAAATGAAATATGATTATTTATGAATGAAATTTGGCACTATCTGCCAATGGTAAGATTTGGCAGAGATATTCACACCCGAAGAGGAGAAAATCCGCAGTAATTTAGGAAAGTGTACAAATTGTCAACTTTATGGCGCATTTAAAAATTTGCGCACACTTTCAAATGGTCAATCAAACCTATCAAAGTTTCTACAAAATAACGAGTATCAAACCCTTCTATTTACTTTCACTTCCTTTCTCTTAACAATCTGAGACAACAATCAAACCCAATGTTGACATCAGTTAAACAAGTCATGCACAAAGTGGGACAACTTGAGACTTGTAATACATATTTTCATTTTAGCAATTTCAACAACATCCTCAAATCTCTCTCTCTGTCCAAAAGCTTGTCTTTCTTTGGCGACACAAATCTGACCGTAACAAGTTCCGGTTGTCAATTTGTTGACGACGACGCAAAAGCTCTTTGAGAATAGAGTGAATTATGTGAACTTAAATATAGATTTGTGCTTTCATTTGTTCAGTGGCAAAAGATCAAACCAAGTATTTATTGTGTTTGGACAAGAGTTAGTTTTTAGTCTACGTGTAGTAAGTGGGTCCAATTTCAAAGCAAATGGATCAGTGGCCCCGGAAGCTTGAGGGGACATTGTCCCTCTGTCCCCACGGTTGTTCGATGTCCCTATCATCTCCCCATCTTATATAAACCCGGCCCTCCCCCATCCAACAATATTGCCGTCCCCAGATGTCCCTACACCTTCCGCGGCCACTGAAATGGATGGTGGTGGTGAAAGCAAAGACGTCACCTCTCCTCTTATCCAGGCAAGTGCTTTTCTTCCCTGGGCCACGGCTGTTTCAGAGATAAATGGTCTTTCCTTGTATCGAATTGTAAATTTTGCTTGTTTCCTAATCAAATACGAAAAGTTGGTTTGGTTTGCGAAGGGATCGCTTCTCTGGAAAGGAGAGAAATAGATAACTGGCTGTGCGTCCTCCATTTCATCTCTCCACCACCACCCCACTTTTTGGAGAGATGTGCAATAAAAAGCAGAGTCAAGTGGTGTGGGCACCTTAGAGAAAGCGAAACACGTAGGAAATCTGAAGCAGTTTGCACGGTATAAAATCAATCCCATCCCAGAAACGAACGACCGACCGGGGAGGAGAGCAATATGGTTTAGTCAATTTTCTTAAGAGAAAATAATATACGATAAGTGTTGATTTTGGATGCAGTACATTAGGGAAAAAGGCTCCACATGGACTCCGAGCATCAATCCTCGTCTCTTGGGATTCCTTTTTCGTGGTCTTGGTTGGTCATGTCCATTTCTTTGTTCCAGTTCCAAATGGAGAGAAAGAGAGAGAGAAACGTGTCCCGACGAGTATGACCATTTGGAAATTCATTCCGTATTAGTGGCATCATCGCCTATCTTCTGTAAAGTGTGGGCTGAGAGACATTAACGGGTGGAGAAACAGGCTCTTTTCAAAAACAGTTTCAAACAGGGAGGAAAACGAATGCCACGCCACGTAAGCCTGCTAAAGCTTCTGGACACCATTACCTGTCACGGACACGTATCTCTCCTCTTGTTCTCGAACTTGTTGATTGTTCTGTAGTTGTCAATTAGTAGGAACAGTTTTAGTCGTCGGCCTAGAAATTCTTCTCCCATCCGTGCGTGGGCAACGGTTAGGTATCGGACACGGACTGCTCTACTATGATGGTTGATCGTTAGTCAACCTATGATGATGACGAGGAAGAAATAACTTGATCAAATCAATCCTTGTAATTGCAACGAGTTTGTTCTTTTTAGAACTCGTGTGTGTGTGTCCATGACCATTTCATGATTGTGACGACTGCACCCGAGACAATTAGGCCGTAATGAAGCCAATGTAAAAGTTTTTTCTTCAAAATGAGCACGCCTGCTTAGATAATCTGTAAGTTTGCAAACTGGAAAAATTGAGGCGTTATTACATATAATTCAGTAAGTGAGGATCAGTATGAAGAACAAATGTAATGTCAGAGATTCAAAGGTAGGAATAGTTTGATTACACGAAACATGAGCACCTAAAGTATTTAATGTTGTCCGTTATCTCAGTATAATTACCGAGCTCTGTCATCATTACTCTGTATCAAAGTTAGGAAACTTATGTATCCTATTGTGGGAAATGAAGTATCGCGAATTAATATAATTCTAAGTAAAAGAGAAAGTGGTTGTGGAACACTTTCTCCCTTAATGTTCGTCACGTCATTAGTTGAAGCGGAACGGGGAGAAAGGTGTTAAATAAAAGCAATGCATGTAACTACTTCATATTTCCTAACGTGTTGAATCTCACCCACCCACGTTGGCTGGCCGTAAAGACTGATTGAGAAAGTGGGATTGCTATCCAGTCCAGGCAGATTTTTCGTCCATCCATTTCATCCATATACCTACCACCTCTTAGAATATGAGACTCCGACCGATCTCTCCTCTTGACCAGTAAGAGACTCACCCTCACCCAGAGAACTCGTCTCAACTTTTTTCACCACCACCATTTGGTCGCTCACCCTCGTCCGGAGAAAGTTGGAGGATGAGTGGGTCAGGAAAAGGGCTCTTGGGCTTGTGGCTCTACCGCATGGGGGACAGCACGGACTGGACCCTGAAGGAAAGCGTGGGGCGGAATAAGGAGCCTGGAAAAGTGGGTGGCATACATACTTTTAACTATGTACTTGTCTCAATTTCGTTCATTTTTCAGGGCCCCGTCACATCCCAGCCGCGACTTATCGACCACCCAAAAGAGGGTCAGAACCAGAACTGTGTCGTGTTTTCCTTGAAAAATCAAGTCGGTGGGTTGGCCCGGGCGTTGAAGGTTTTTCAGGACAATGGCGTCAACGTGATTCACATCGAGTCTCGCAAGTCCAAGAAGAAGCCATCCGAGTATGAAATCATGCTCGACGTGGACTGCGAGCCGGAACTGATGGACGAAATTATGAAGACTTTGTCCGACGAAGTGGCCGCCATCAATCTCACGTCGTACGAACAGGGGCACAAGTTCCCACGACCGTTGCAGAGTCTTCAGTCGATGAGCAGTTTTGGTGAGTTGATATTTAAGATAGTTTAGAGTAGGAACGGTAGTTTGGCTAGTTTTATGAGGGTGAAAGTAAGTTTGTCTCATGATTCTCACCTTGCCCCAGATTTCGGAGATATGCCCTGGTTTCCGAGAAAAATTCAGGACCTTGACCAAAGCCAAAGGGTCCTCATGTACGGGTCCGAGCTGGATGCGGATCATCCTGTATGTTCATTAATTTAATTGGGCTGTTAACATATTAGCATGAACGTAGACGATTAAAGTTGTAGGAGAATTTAGGATTTCATTTTGAAAACTTATCCATACTCTAAAAATCCCCAATTGGTTCAAAAATATGAAAGCTTTCCAATTATCACAGGGATTCAAAGATCCAGTTTATCGAAAACGACGGAAATTCTTTTCCGATCTGGCAATGGGTTATAAATAGTAAGTGGTTGAGTTATGATGAAATTGCGAATTTATTTAGCTTAGTCTAATTAGCTAAACTGTGCATATTGTATTCAGTGGCCAGACAATCCCTCGAATTGAATATACCCCAGAAGAAGTTCGCACTTGGTAAGTGAATTCTACAGTTTTTATCATTTCACTTATCACAATTTCATAAATAGTCAAGTTACCCCTTCATTGCCAAGTTTCCTTTTTACTCGCTCAGGGGGACCGTTTTTCGCGAATTGCACAAATTGTATCCAAAATATGCTTGCAAAGAATACTTGGAAAATTGGGACCAACTCATCCAGTACTGTGCTTATCGGGAAGATAACGTTCCCCAACTTCAAGACATTGACATATTTCTGAAACGTTCGTTAAGTTTCCATACTTTATTCTATTTTAATATCTTGGATTCCTTACTTAACTCTGATTTTGTAATTCTAGGCAAGACTGGTTTTCAACTCCGACCTGTGGCAGGGTACTTGTCCCCACGGGATTTTCTGGCTGGATTGGCATTCAGAGTTTTCCACTGCACTCAGTACATTCGACACTCTTCGGATCCATTTTACACTCCGGAACCGTATTAAAACGATGAGAAATACATGCAAAATATGCATTACTTTGCTTAATAATTGATTATTTTATAGGGATTGTTGCCACGAACTTTTGGGACACATGCCACTCCTCGCAAATCCATCATTTGCCCAGTTCTCGCAAGAAATTGGTCTCGCATCACTGGGGGCTTCGGAAGAAGAAGTTGGGAAAATTGCAACGGTATTTACCTTACAATAATGCATATTTGTCTCAAATTAATGTGTAACATTCCCCCCTGAATTTTCGCAGTGCTACTTTTTCACCGTGGAATTCGGGCTTTGCAAACAAGACAATGAACTCCGCGTCTTTGGGGCTGGACTTCTGTCGTCAGTCGCCGAGTTGAAACATGCTCTTGAAGCGGTCAACAAAATCCGGCGATTCGAACCGGACGTGACCTGTAAAGAAGAATGCATTATCACATCGTATCAAAATGCATACTTTTATACCGACTCGTTTGAAGAGGCGAAGGATAAGATGAGGCAAGTTGAGACGTTTCTCATTTTAAGATTGAATGAAACCTGTTTAATTCGTTCTTATTTATTTTTAAGGGCATTTGCCTCCACGATCCAGCGACCGTTCGGTGTCCGGTACAACCCTTACACGCAGAGTGTCGATATTCTCAGCAATGCTCAGAAAATAGCAGCTCTCGTCTCCGAACTTCGTGGAGACTTGTGCATTGTGAGAAATGCTTTGAAAAAGATTCACGAGCAGGATGAGACCGTTGATGTGGAGAGGTTTGCACACATGCTGAAGGATCAGATAGACATTGACCCTGGTGACCAGGAGAGTCTCAGCGGTCGTGCGACGCCATGCTTCGAACGGGGCGCAAGCCCAAATGGGGATCATCCTCCCGATAAGTAAACTTATGAGAACTGCAATTTAATATCTTCATGTTTTTTTGGGCTTAGGAAATTAAAAAGAATCTGTAGGGAGTAGAAAAAGCTGAAAATATATATGTAATTAATGCATGTTGTTTTAGATTCCACTTAGGATTAGCTTGACCTCTTGGTCTCCCAGAAATAATAGGACCTTCTTTCCTATTGTTGCATCTAGAAAAATTGTAAAGGCTTGCACACATTTATTACACTAATTATAACTTAACTATATAAATTATTTGATAAACTAATCGACCAAGAAAAAGGGAACAAACATTATTGTTTCATGGAAACACGGGACCAATCCGTAGAGTAGTTAAGCTCGATTTTACTTATCTTAAAGTAAAGTCAAGTACATAAAAGTATGCAACTTTCTCTTCGTAGTGTGTATATGTATGTACTATATAAAAGAAATTATCCTCTAAAAACACCAATATTATGTGTTATTTTAATGTTTACGAAAAATGCAATCGCATCAATTTGGCGTTCAGTTTATATGTAGCAGTAGAAGTAGTAATAATAGTATGTATGTAAGTTCTAAATTTCAACAGTTAAAAATTAGCATAGTTATAATTACCCTCATTAAATATCATAATAGTTAAAAATGTCATGTTTAGAATTCAAGAACGGGACTGAAAGTGCTCACAACTTGTGATGTTCAAAATGCCAGGAAAGCACGGAAAGAAGACGGGATTGTGGCAGTAGTGCTGCTTAACTTATGACTAAAATTAAACAATTAATTCAGAAAAATGTTAATTAATTAATTAATAATTAAATGTAATGAAAAGTAAGAAATAAATGTGAAACGTTTTCCGATAGCAGTAGAAAAAAGTTCTCATTTTGAAACGGGCATCTAAATTGTACAACCGGCGAACAAGTGCGCCAACCACCTGCAGCAGGAGCAGAGTCTGACGTTTTTGGGAGAATTTTCGTTAAATAAATCAAATTTCTTAATTTATAGTTAAAATTAATTGTAATATTTAATTGTTCACTGTTCACGAAGGGGTTAAATTGAGTATTCTCCAATTTCAAAGTCTACCACGAGTAAGTTTGTATTTTTAGTATATCTTTTTTAGAATAGTCGGTTAGTTCATTTATATATATATGCAAATTCGTATATTGATAAGCCAAATTACCAAATTAACTCACATAATTACGTTCCAGCATGGCAGGCCCCGTGATGCAGTCGACGAGCAATTTCAAACGGACTTCACTTTACTTGGATATACAGGAAGACGACGACAGCAACGAAAGTACGGGTTCATCTCCGCTCTCCCCCTGTGTTCCAGTGGGCGATGAATACGACGAACAGCAGGTCGTCAAAAGATCAAAATTCGACAATGTAGCAGACGAGTCACAAGCCTTGATGCAAATGAATACAGCCTTGTCTCAAATTACCAGTGGAAATTTTAAATTTAACCTTGGATTCACAACGGCAAGTGGAAAAGAAGTCAAAATATCGGAGGAGGCTATGAAAAAAGCATTGAGTCTCAATAAGGAATTTGAATCGGCGGACACTAGCCGAAAATCGGTGCCTCGAAAGTCCTTAATTTCGTCTCCCATGATCGTTAAAGCATCCCCGGGCCCATCTTCTGTCAACAGTTTCATGCAGCAAGGATCAGCTCACAAAAAGTTCAAGCCGCCGACCCGAACCCCAACCGCTTCAACGTCCCGAGGATCTCCATGCCCCCCTTTACGAGTGGAACCCCCTTCCAGTGAGACTCAAGAGGTCATGGACTGCATCGAAGCATTAATGGCGGATGAAAACAACGACATGGACAGCGACGACGGTGTGGTTTCATCTTCACCTCCACTCTCACCCTGTTTTCCACGACACGATGAACAACAGGAATCAAAACTCGAAAATGAAGAAGGCGACGGAGAAGTCTTGATGCAACTGAATTCAGTCTTGTCGAAAGTTACCAATGGGAAGTTCAAATTCACTCTCGGATTCACAACGGCAAGTGGAAAGGAAGTCAAAATATCGGAGGAGGCCATGAAGAAGGCATTGAGTCTCAATAAGGAATTTGAAACGGCGGACACTAGCCGAAAATCGTTGCCTCGAAAGACTACAATCTCGTCTCCCATGATTGTTAAAGCATCTCCTCGTCCATCCTCCGCCACGATTGTTAAACCATCCCCTGGCCCATCTTCTGCTACGATTGCTAAACCATCCCTTCGTCCATCGTCCGCCACGATTGTTAAAGCCTCTCCTTCTGCCACGATTGCTAAATCATCCCCTCGCCCATCTTCTCCCATGATTGCTAAAACAACACCTCGTCCATCTTCCGCCAACAGCAGAATCATTCAGCAAGGGTCAGCTCACAAAAAGTTCAAGCCACCGACCCGCATCCCCGTGGCTTCAACGTACCGAGGGTCGCCACGGCCCCCTCCGCGAGCGGAACCCCCAGCCAGCGAGACTCAAGAGGTCATGGATTGCATCAAGGCATTAATGGCGGATGATGACGACGGGTTTTAACAACCTTGCCCGTGACGAAACAATGCATTATTACTGACTTTTTGTAATATTTAATCAAACTCAATCTAAACAGTTCCTGGTCATTCTTAAAAGTTTACTTGGTTACATGTTCTCTTAAATCGTAGGCATTCGTAAATGTTACTCAATTCTTTGTTCCGTTCAATTCAATCAAAATTTTACATGATCTATAAATAAATAACAACAAAATGTATGATTTTTCGTATTTATTTAATCATCATCATTAAATCTCTCACGTTTCCCATGCTCATACAGCCGAGGTAGAAAGGAAGTGCAGTGGGTTTATTTTGCGGTGAGGCCGACAAGCACATGGCAGCATTTGATTGAACTGCTCAATTTAATTGTTAAATTCTTAAAGTGAATTAAATACCTTGAAATTAAGATAACTTGCTTTGTCCCCGATTCGACGAAATGACGCAACGTGGCGAGACCGGAGTGAGGACAAGGAATGGCGGAGAGATCAAGAAATTCACGAACAGTAAGTACACATTTTTCCGATGTTTAATTGTTAATTGATAACGTTGTAATAATAATTTTTGCCTAGAATTTGAAAAGAGTGGAGGAGATGGTGACAAGTTCGGCAAGAAACGGAAATTTGGTGAAGGTATCAAAGAAGAGAAGGGAGCTGGAAAAAAGAAACGTATGTTTGTATTAAACAATATTAAGTGTGCAACAATTAACTAGTAAATTAAACTTTAATTAATTATTTGCGTAGCGCGAGCATACGAGAACATTGTCACAGCCGATGGCAAACCAGACTGGAAAAAGGCAAGGATGGAGATGAAACAATTAAAGGAAACGAGGAAGAAGAAGGAAATGAAGCCAGAAATTTACGAGCTGAGCAAAGAAGCTAAGAAAATTTGGGAAGAGTTGCGAAAAGAAAATTGTCCTCAAAATGTTCGGGACAAACTTTGCGATCAGATGCATCGTTTAGTTAAAGGACACATTAAAAGGGTGAGAAGAACAAGTTTTATTTAAGAGCTGGATAATTATCCAGATCGATAGTCTTTTAAAAATATTTATTTTATTGTTTTTCTTTTAGTTATCTTTTGCCCACGATACGTCTCGAGTTTTGGAGTCGCTCTTAATGTATGGTTCGGAAGAAGTTCGTGCCAACATTCATGTTGCGTTTAAGTAAGTGGAAAATTACAAGACCAATTTACTTCAAGTGATATTTCTCTGATAATAACGATGATCTCTTCTAGGTCAAAGGATGACATTATGCTTCTCATGAAGTCAACCTATGGACACTTTTTGGCTCTAAAATTGATGAAATATGCGACTAAAGAACAGAGGGATGCTATTTTCAAAGCCATCGAAGCCCACGTCGTTACACTCCTCAAGCATCAGTTCGCTTCAAGAGTGCTTAACGATTTCTACTTGACGTATGCCAAAGCAGCCCAGAAAACAATCATAATTAAGGAGTGTTACGCCCCCTTGTTGCGTTTGGAGAGTTTGGATGAATCTTTGGGCTACGATTTGAAACTTATCCTTGAAAAATTTCCCGAGAAGAAAACAGGCATTCTGAACAATTTGCAAGAACTTATTACTTTCATGCTGGAAAAGTATGTCATAAATTCATTTGGAAAGTATATTAACTTGTCACTTGTGGGGCAATAATTTAATTATTATTATTTGTATTGTTTGACTCATTAGAAATATGAAAACCAATGCGATTCTTCATCTTTTGATCCATGAATATTTGGAAAATTGTGCACATGCCGAAAGGACAGAATTAATCACGACAATGCGAGAAGAACTTGTAAACATTTTGCACACCAACGAAGGTTCATTACTTGGATTGAGCTGTTTGTGGCACGGAACTCCCAAGGTTTGTAGTTTAGTTTAGTAATAAATTAATTTGCTGGTTTGGTCAGTTATCATTTAGTTATGCTACATTGTTCTCGTTATTGTTTCAGGATCGTAAAGTAATTGTCAAAAGCTTCAAAGGCTTTATTCCTAAAATCGCATGTGATAAGAACGGATATCGAGTTCTTTTAGGAGTTATTGACACAGTAGATGACGTTGTACTTGTTTCAAAGGTATGCAATTAGGTCTTAAATATTTTTAAATTGTTATTTTACTTCATGAACTAATGCGATTATTTGCACTACAGGCAATCTGCAATGAAATGCTGAATAACTTGAATGATCTTGTGCTGAATCAATATGGACAACGGACGGTTGTTTACCTTTTGGAGCATCGAAGCTCATTGTTCTTTGATCCGGAAATATCAAAATTGCTAGCCCAAGGGGACTCTAATGAGTACACGTGAGTAGCTACCAAATTGACACCACATACCCTGTCTAATTATTTAAATGTAATGAGATGTAATTTGACAATAGGAAAAAACCAATTGGTCAACGTCTCAAGGACATTACGGAACCTTTGGAACAAGAGTTTGTGGATGGCATTGTGGATAATTTTGGCATGTGGATGAAAGAGAATTGTCCATGTTTGGTAGCCAAATTTATTTTGAAAAGATTCACAGGTCCGATATTTATGCATATTTAACCTGTAAAATATACAAAGTTTGTAATTACTCAATTATTTAATTTTTACTTGTTTGACCGGCAGGTGGTCACTTGAATGAAGCTGTTCAAAAGGTTGCCGAGTGCATTGCAGAGGCTTCGACGGCGGAAGGAGTTGAGCGAAACCCGATTGAAGCACTATCAAAGTTAATTCTGATGGAATTACCGATGGAAACCCGGCTTGCTTTTGCATCTGAGTTGCTCGTCCATTTGAATAAATTGGGACAAATCAAACCCTGGCTTCAAACTAATCGCGGATGCTTCGTTTTGCTCAGGTTTGTCGTACTTAACGTGCTATTATATTAAGTGATTTAAAGAGTTGTATATATAATCCATCTGTAATTTAGAATTTGGGAGAAATGTGGACAAGACTCTCAACCTGGGAAAGAGGTGAAGAAATGCGTTACGTCAAACATTCAAATTCTGAAAAAGCATAAAACCGCAGGAGGAAAATTATTGAGTAATATCGTTGAAGATTAATCTAGATGATTATTTTGCATATATAGTAAAGTAATTCCGCAAATGTAAAATTTTACATTATTAAATAATGAATACATTAAATCATTTCCTTTGTTTTAACTTTTCAATCAGCTCTAATTTATTCAACTCATAAATTTCACATCCGAAGATGATATGAATATAAACGGAATGTAATATTTTGACAATAGCAATTTTTTAATGCCCCTCAAAATACTCTTTGCTGTCCCCAACCGTTGGTTTGATAGTCTTCTGTCCTGGCTTCCATCCTGCAGGGCACACTTCTCCATACTTATCCGTGAACTGGAATGCCTGGACGAGACGAAGAGTCTCGTCAACCGAGCGCCCCACCGGGAGATCATTGATGGTGATCTGGCGCAAATTTTGTTTCGCGTCGATGATGAAAAGACCTCGAAAGGCAATTCCGGAATCTTCCTGTAAATAAATATGAGAAGAGTCATGTACAATTTATTTTAATATCCTCCCAATAACAAGCTAAAAAATACAGCATTAAGGAATTACGGTATACCTTAAGGACGCCATATGCTTTGGAGATCTCCATCGTCTTGTCGGCAAGAAGAGGAATGTTCATGGGCCCTAGCCCGCCCTGCTTTCGGCTTTGACTCACCCTAAATATAAGAGAGATACAAAACTACTTTTAGTCTTCATTTATATCAGTTTACAATTTGCACAAAATCAAATCAGTAATCAAAATTTCATAGTCAACTTACCACGCAAAGTGCGAAAAATGCGAGTCTGTCGAGCATCCCACGACCTCGCATCCCACTGCCCTGAACTCTGCGACCCTGTCGGAGAACGCGATAATTTCCGTAGGGCAGACGAAAGTACTGTTAAATCAACAACAAACATAATGAAATATTACTAATAAATTATTATATTGGAGTAATAGTAGGATTAAGCTGTGTTCTCCTTACAAATCCAAAGGATAAAAAAAGAAAACGAGGTATTGGCCCTTGTAATCTTCGAGAGAGATTTCCTTAAACTCTCCGTTCACAACGGCACTTCCTTTCCACATCGGAGCTGGCTTCTGGATTTCCAGTTGACCCAGGGTATTCATATTTGATCACTAATCTGAAAAAAGTAACGAAAATAAATTAAAATCAACAATTATGGTGACATTGCACAAACCCCGAAAAGTATTTACCAACCGATATAAATTGTAACAAGTTGTACGAATATTTTAAACAGAGAAAAAATGTTTTGCACAGGTACACAAAGGCGAAGAACTGATAATCTGCTATTGAATTTCAACACAGGTCACAGAATTACGCTGACCATCATCACTGGAACGGAAACTGTTTAAATTCTTTTCATTTGTGGCACGAAGATGACGAGTGTTTTCATTGCCGTCGCCAGAAACCATGAGAATATGAGAGTCTTGTTCCTCAATGGGGGAAACTTTACGTCCTCCACCACCACCTTGACCCCACGCATTCATGAACAAGCCCCCTATCGAACCAATAGCTTTGCTCAGAGCTAGGGCAGGATTTCCAGAACTGTTGTTTCCATCATCGACAGATTTTCCACCCAAAAAAAGGCTCGATGTATTATTTGTACTAAATGATGACTGATTATTATTATTATTGCTGTTATTTCGACTGAAAAGACTGCCCATAGTTTCTTCTTCGGAATTGTGCTACTGTACCATTTTTATTATTCTTAAAATCAGCTAAATACTTCAAGTTTCCGAATGCATTGTAAAAGCTAACTATGTCTTGCACACACTTATTCATGCAACCAGAGCGTAAATGCAAATGACAACTTTAGCCACTTTTTGGCTGAGCAACAGCTCCAACAATTTATTAGCCCAACCGACTCAACTGCGACATATGCACTACACGCAGGCACAGAATGACCGAATACTCAAGTTATCGACTTTTAGTCCTCAATTATTTATTGCTAAAATTCTCCTACGTAGACTTTGACAACTCATGAGGAGGACAAAATCTACGTATTAATTTGTTTTCACATCCTTTGTACTTACTTTCTCAGGAAGAAGTTTGCAGTTTTAGAGCCCACGAGCGCATCAGGATAACCAACAATATTTGTAATGATATGAAATTAAAAAGGTTACCTTGCAAGTAAATATTGAAACCCATAATCCAACAAAACTTCATATAATTTGGCATACCTGCAGTTCAAATTGTTTTAAATTGTAAAATGTACCTCATTTACTTGAAAACGGTGTTTACTTGTTGACATGCAAGAAATATGCATTGCTGGAGAGTCATTATGAAGTTATGTGTAATAAATAATAATGATGCCGCATGATGTTTAATTCCCACAAGCTAAGCATTAATTAATGCAAGATAAAACAAAGTTGGACGGGTTTCCAATTATATTAAATATGATTCATGCCGAGCTATCTATCTTGACAGGTTTTACAAAAGGAAAATGACATTTGAATAGGCAACAATTTCAGAAATGTTCATTTATTCATACGTTTTCCTTCCTCCTAGTCTATAAATTGGAATTGCTGATGATAATTGCAACACATAAAGTATTGAAGGGGGATTAAATAGGAAAATCGCAATTATGCAAATGAACATAATATGAACATGACATAAAATCGCTACACAATCTTGGCAATTAAACCGAACGACCGTCGTCAAAAGGACGCTTGGACAAGTTCAAATTCACGGTCAACTCGCCCATTTAACAAATAAGCATTATTTTTTATATGCGATGAGTGGATTATCTGCGCATTTTTATGATTGGAGAAAAACTGCAGGTAGATAAAATAATAAATCATGCGACAATCTTTCAGAACAATCTTTGCATAAGAATTACATATACCACTCATACTACAACGTTCGTATTGATTTCACATTGTCACTAATTCAATGGCAAAACTGACTTCATCAAAATAAGATTCGTTCATCCTGATTAAAAGTCGGTTTCAATTCTCGTAACGATACAATAACATAACACAAAACAAATGGTTTGCTTGTCTGCCTCATCATGAATTTGCATGCGACTACAATTCTGTTGTATGTATGAAATGGCGACACTTAACCTAATAAAAGATCGGCACGCAATAGAAGTAAGTTATACATACATGTTATACATTTCGGAGGGGAAGGGGACACCCATCATAATAATAGAGCCCTAGTAAATAGAAATATGGATAGAATGTCAACTCTCTCAACATATAAGTCAAGGTAAGTTGGATCAATAATTATTTCGCCGGATATCTCTTCATGAATTCCATCCGTATTAAACGAAGGACTGTGCTGTTAAGGTTTTCTCTTTATGCTCATCGGTCGTTCTTGTTGCATCAATGAATGAAACCGTATCGGAGAAAGACTGACAATAGAAGAACAGAGTGTCAAACGGTGTGCTCTCACTTATTCATGCATACATCGACTATATTCCATGATACGTAGATACGTGCAGAATATGTATACTTTATTTATAGTGCTTACTTACTCTCCTTCTTCTTCTGGTGTCTGGTTACAAAACCGTTATCCTTCTAAAGTAATGTCTTTTTAATGCCGAATCCAGTAAAGCTTTTAAGCAGTCGGAACAGCTTTTGATAGATGCCGTATCTGGATAAGAAGCTTATTGGGATATGATAATGTTCCACTAAACTAATAAACCACTAGGCTATTTGCAACCTACAAAGGAATAATGTCTCATATTAATTGTTTTTCTCTGTTTTTCGCATCAATCACTTGTTAATTGAAACAACTTAAGTAATAATGATCAACGATGCATATGCACATATCGGACAAGGACACATTGTACCTAAAAATGGACAATTGCACACGTGCCTTATACAATTTTTGAAAATATATGTTCAGATCGCTTTCCAATTTTCTCCATCTTTTTATTGTGTATTCGGTCAAAATGCAAAAGCCACTCGATTCTATATTTATCCCAGTCGTATAAAAAATCCAGACAAAATGAATTAATTCTAGTCTACCATGCACTAAAAAGTAAAGGTTTTATGTCCCCATTTTCGATGGTTGGTCACCCTCAATAAAAAATAATTGCCATTTTGGATTTACTTATTTCGATAATCCCCTCTCTCTCTCTCGTCATCAAAGATAAGTCCCGTCCCGTCTCGATCGATAGTTTTATGATCAAGTAAATATAAATGAGCAATAACTATCAAACCAATTACCTAGAAGACCTTTGCAAGTAAGTAATGATCTCGAAGCACGGTTTGACAAATCTGATGGCTAATCGATCTACTGATGATGATAATGCTCATGCCGACAACTTATCCTTAACCTTAACTTAATTGATAGGAGAATAATTGACTCACTTACCGTTGAAGAGTAGCAGGGCAACAGAAAAGAGGAAGTTTTCGGATTTCCGATATTTCCAGCCGGGCAGGAGGAGAGGAGAAGAAGAAAGAGAGAATTTTCCAGTGGACCAGTTTTGGAGGGTGCAGGAAGGAGACTGAGGAAGAAAGCGTGAACAAAAGGTGGCTCAAGGCTCGCAGCGAGTGAGGCAAGTGAGACGAATGCATGAGACGATTGGATGGTGATGATGTCTCGTCCTCGTCAATCATTAGTTGCATGCACAATAATTATGTCGTCTCATCTTGTTCCGTAGGTAAAAGCAAGGATCATGATCTGCTTGACAGCCGAAGAAGCGGACCAGCCAACCACGGCACTCTTTGTAGTTAGTACGGCTCTACTAACAATGGAGGTCTCCCAGCGTGTATGGTCACCGATTTTGACCAAATATTATTAGTCTCAAATTGAGACGAAAAAATTTGAGAGTCTCAATCGATCTCAAATTTTATAAATATTAAATTTGTGAAAGACACGATCTCCCCCCAATGGGCACGTTTGGTAGAGATGTTTGCATCCGAAGAGAAGAAATTTGGAAAGCGCAAAATGAAATTTGTGGACTTTATTTAATGCGTATTTTCTCCTCTTTGAATGCAAATATGTATCTCTGCTAAACGTGCCCCTTGGGAGATCGTGTCTTTTGCAAATTTCATACTTATCAAATTTGTGATTGTTTGAGATTGACACTAACTAGTTGTAAGTTTTAATTAGCCAAAATTAGGACTGAATAGAAATTAAAATGTATAATTTATAGAGTAACAATAATTTAAATTCAACAATCAATAATTTAATGAACTTTGGATGACTGGATTGATAATTAATTAAGTATTTTTCTTCTCTAGTGTTTGTAATGTGTATTAAGTACATACTATATAGTTTAAATTTAAGTTAATCTATTAGCTTTATTTTTAGTTTCTGTAATCTCATGAAAATAGGCTAACATGGTATGCAAACGTAATTCAATTATATGCATTCACTAGTAAATGGGGTGGGGATAATAAATTAATAAAGGCTTGTTATTATTATTGCATGCAAAATATCTTCATAATAAATAAAGCAATTTCTCATTATTGGAATGTCTGGAATTTTAATAACTTAGATGATGTAATGAACAAAAGAATGCATTCCCTATTACGAAAAAGTAATCGTTAAGTCTTTATTTTTGTATTTACATAACATGCGTACTTTTATTATGCCTTGAGAAATATTACGGAATAGTTTACAATCATTTTAGTTTCATTTCATAAGGAAATATGTAAACAAGCAAATGTACATAACAAGGATTTGATGGGTAGTATTAGGTTTGTGTGTTCTACAAAAATAGGTCCCCAAGATATTCATCGAATTCTTCTTCTCTAGATTTAACATCTACAGTTGGAAGTGAATCTTTCCAAATATTCTCCGACTTGTCTGCATTTTCTCCTTGTGCGTCAACTTGATTGCTTTGTGAAGCGGTGGTCGAGTCTGAGTTTCGTTTTTCTTTATCTGAGTGCTTGGAATGTTTCCTTCTTTTCTTTATCTTTGGAACTTTTGTAACGTCTTTTCTCTTTTGGTGATGATTCAACTTTTCAGAGCACTCAGGGCAGAGTCCTAAACAAATTTATAGAATTAATTAGAATATTATAGATTGGAAAATAATACGAAAACATTTAGCAATTCTGTTATCATTTGTGTAAATACATACTGAGTTTCACTAGAGCATTTTTCTTTACTGAATCTTCCATATAGGCAAAATTTACTTCCCAGGATCGAAGTTCGGTGGAATTGTCACATTTTCTCGCACCGCAAGTAAATTGTCCTTTTCCGTTAATTACTTCAGTTTCCGTTCTCCAACGCATTGCATACTATAGAAAAGAAAGATATTAAAACAACTCGACAAGAAGTCCATTAATTCAAATCATGTATAATTATCAATGGATTTCTTCGTACCTTTGCTTGCTTATAAAATGATAAATCACAAATGCAGTATTCCTTAAAAAGCTTATCATAGTATTTCTTGGACATTTGTTTCTCCCAGGTGTCCGCATCGTCATCATCGGTCCAAATGAAGCGATGATTATCTCTCACGATGTCGTGATCCGTCTTATCTCGTGACCTAGAATATATTTACAAAATGTAAACCTTTAACAAAACTTTGGACTCAGCAATAATTAATATTTCAACTTTATTACGTGTCCCTCTGAAATGTATTTTTCGATCCCGGATAGAAAAGGTAATAATCATTGATAAGCTTCTTGTGTCGTTCAAAGGCGTTAAGGCTCAGGTAGGAATATTTGTACCCATCCGCACGGCCACGTTCTGTTTCAAAAGCTTCCCTTGTAGGCAAACCTACAAAATTTGGAATTATACCAAAAATAAGTGTAAATAATTTTTCAGCTCGAACCTGATTCAGTATCAATTTAAATACTATAACTTATCATTAACACACCTGAAGCATGATTTGTACTCGTTTTCGAACAACCTGCCTGATCTTTTTTCCGCGCTAGGTCCTCGCGCTGGGCCCGCTTGTGCTTTTTCTCGTCGTCCTCATCGTCTTCAAAATCTGAATCGTAATCGTCGTGAGTTCCTACGCGTAATTTTTTAGCGTTGTTCATATTTTCCCATGAACGTCGAAAGTAAATTGCAGAAATGAAAACGACGATTTGGCGAAATTAACGATATTTAAGATAAGCAGACTAGCACGCATTCATTAACCTTCTATTTACAGATAAGGCAATTGATCAACTAAATCTCAACTATTTAAAATATTATGAACAACAGATAACCAAATTTTTTAATTTGTAAACAAACGATCAAACGTGATCAGATCAGAGAAGTGAGAATCTCCCGGGAAGAACGTGACTCTAAAATAACATTTATTCATACAAGAATCTTCGCCGGATTATGCAAATTGTTGTTATCACTGATAACTTATCAGTTTATAATTAGTGAGCATTATCTGGTCTTGCATTTAGTGACGGGAAGTGGGAGGTGGGGGTGGTCAACATTAGTTACTTTAACAGTGCTCAATTAAAATCTCAGTCCAGCACTCCAGAGTCCAGAGCAAGAATTTATAAATGGAGATGTCATCTTTCCGGCTTATCTCATCATTTGGACGAGTTCCATCACTTGGATCCACCATTTCCAAGAAATTTATCAGCACAGGACCAGCAATTCGACCCTTTCTTCTGGGACCATTGTCTCGAAATGCGTCTCGTCTGACGACAAAATCCAAACTTTTTTTACCATTCATGAAACAGCAAGGTTTGCGTCATACGATGACCGCTGCACCGCCGCCGAACGTGTCGATGCCGTTGAGCAGGAATATGGAACGACTTATAGGCGGATGGTTGGCCGGGTGTGCGGGGATGTGTTTCGGCGCAGTTGTACTTGGTAAGCAATTAAATTATATTTTCAGTTAATAAATAATTAGTTAATTATTTGATTGATTGTACAGGTGGTGTTACTAGACTAACAGAGTCAGGGTTGTCGATGGTTCATTGGAAATTATTTGGCGAAAGGCCTCCCACAAGTATGGACGAATGGCAGTTGGAATTTGAAAGATATAAACAGTTTCCAGAGTTCAAAATGTAAAAACAGAGATGGAAACATGAAATAGAAGAATAGATTTGAATTGATGTTTCATTGTTTATTATTTAGCAAAAACAAGGACATTACACTCGACGAGTTTCGATGGATTTGGTACATGGAGTATGGTCATAGAACGTGGGGGCGTGCGATTGGAGCCGTTTTTTATATTCCTGCTGCCATTTTCTGGATGAAAGGGCATTTCTCTCCACTTATGAAAAAGAGAACTGTATTTCTGGGTGGGTTGTTAGCGTTTCAGGTGCATTTAATTACTAGTAATATAATTATGACTTTAATTTAATGATTTATATTGTAAATTACTTGTACTTTTAGGGCCTGTTGGGTTGGTACATGGTAAAGTCTGGTCTTGAATCTCGGTTTCATGGTGAAAGTGATGTCCCTCGTGTTTCGCAATATCGACTCGCTGCACATTTAGGTTCAGCGTTTGTCCTCTACTCGTACTTGTTGTGGTGCTCCCTCGACTATCTTCTTCCCGTCCAACAATTGCAAAGGTCGAAAGAGTTGCTTCGATTTAAACGATTGGCCCACATGTGCAAGGGTTTAGTTTTTATTACGGCAATATCAGGTAATTAAATATTACTAGTAAACTTAAGTATGTGGTTTTACAATTATATATAATCTTCAAATTAATTTACAGGAGCGTTTGTTGCTGGATTAGATGCAGGATTAGTTTACAACTCATTTCCTAAAATGGGAGATAAATGGATTCCTGACGATGTTTTAGAATATAAACCAACATGGACTAATTTTACAGAAAATCCTACCACCGTGCAGTTCGACCATCGGATTTTGGTACAACCAAATCACAATCACGCACATGAGTTTTATGTCATTATTAACTAATAATAATCAGATATTGCATTTATTTATCTACAGGGAGTCACAACTTTTTCTACAATTATGGCATGTTGGGCAATTAGTCGTCGTCTAAATATTCCCAGGAGGGCGAGATTAGCCTGCAATGTAATGGCCATAGCAGCATTGGCGCAGGTAATAAATTACGCATACCTGGCTGCAAATGGTAATGTTTTAGATGCTGCTAACTGCTAAGTATGTATACATTTACATTTTATGGTGCAGGTGGGTCTGGGGATAAGCACATTGCTCACTTATGTTCCTACACCTCTCGCTGCCAGTCACCAAAGTGGATCCCTAATTCTGTTATCAATTGCTTTTTGGTTGACACATGAATTAAAGCGTATTCCGAAATAAACGAGTCATTATATATATCAAATAACACAGAATATAGGTTTTGAAAAATGAAAAAATGCTTTTATTACATCGTCATGTATTTGAATTTAACAAGTCAGAATAACATCACGTTATATTTTCAATCCACTGCTTGCAGCTTCTGCCATCAGGTTATTCATACCTTCGATATTTTGAAGCTCATTCATGAAGTCAGTCAGTTGTGCCTTAGTGAACACGTAAATCCGACGAAAGGCTTTTCCATAGATAGAACTGCCAGACTGATTCTGGAAAATTATGCCTGAGTCAACGGATGATGGGTAATTGACATCGAAGAATCGAGTGTGGTTCTAGAAAAAATAGAAACCCAATAAAAACATTTTTCTTACAGACAACTGCTATCAAAAAGATTAGATCAATTCAATCATTGTGCTTTACCTTATGAATTATTTCGTCGTCTTGATCGACGAAATACTCGGGCTCGTGTTTAATTTTTACCATTTTTGCCACATGAACAAAATGAGTGAAATTATACTGCATTCCATTTTCAGTGGCAGTTTCCAAATCATTTCTAAAAAATTAAACCCATTAATTTTTTATCAAGAATATTTAAGACCATGAATTGAGCTTACATCAACTGTTTCATGAATGGGCAAGTCGCCACCCCCGGAATGTTGACCACTTTCTCCTTGATCAGTAATCCAGTCGTGTTTGGATGATTACCCTCAAAGTCAAGTAATTGTTTTAGAACATTTCCTTCAACTGATTGTCCAGCATGTGTCAACATCCAATTAACCACTTGCTTCACGAAAGGATTATCCTGTTAATTGTTTTTAATAAATCAATGAAATCGAGTTAAATCGAATCAATAATTTTATTATAAATCGGCTACCTTGTTATTCTTCAGATTCACTGCGCTGTACACACCATACACTGTCCCATCATCATCCGGATCTGCCGCAGGTTCATCAACTTCTTCCTTAAAAAACATTAAAAATAGCTTGTTTTCAAAAGCCGAACAATACCAACTTCAAATTAAATGTTCAAGACAAACTAACCTTCAACACGGTGGTCACATAATTCTGTCGAACGAGAAGTTCCGCCAGCTCTTTAACATCAACTTCAAAATGTTTAAAGAGTTGCTTGCACAAATTTTCAATTCCTGAACTGTCAGCATCGTCCGGCGTAACGGCTAGGAAGCCTTTCATGAACGTCTACAAAGTAAAAATAACTTTAAACAATAGCACAAACAAGATTAATCATTCATTCGAGTTTATACTAAATTGTGTACCTCCGGTTCTTCGACGGACCCATCTATAGTATCTACAAGTTCTGGCATTGAGCCCGAATCGCTATCACTACTATCACTCATGATGCCTGCAATAAATTATTAGTTAAAATTAATTACACATTAAAATTAAACAATCTAAACCAACCCTACCTGATAATAATCCGACCATAAAACAAGGAAAAAACCAATTTAATTGAGCACTAACTACTCTCGAAACCGGACCTCGTGTGTAGGCCGAAATTCGGATACCTAACGCACATGGGCGAGGAAGGCAAGTTCAAGCTTCCCTGTTTGCTCTAATCTCAGCCTGCCCCAAAGTACAAAACGGTTTATGTTTTCCAACATAGAAACCTGACTACCTCAATTTACTAAAAGCCTCCCACAGTGGGGCCCCCCAAGATAATCGGGTTATCAATCAAAATGAGACATATTTTGCGTTTGCAAACTGCATATCATATTTGCCAATTGCTAAACACGATTATAAATCTAAACCCATGGAATAAGATAATACTAAACCCACACATGTTGAGAATGGAGTCAAGTTGAGAATATTTCTCAATTTGCCTCAGCTTGAGTAAGACTACTCTCCTTGATTATTTTGTGAAACGGTGATCTAGTCTGAGTTTCGTTTTTCTTTATCCGATTTCTTCGAATGTCTCCTTCTTTTCTATATCTTTGCAACTTTTATAACGTAATTTACACTTCAATTTTAAAACTTAATTTGAAAAGGTGAGGCTATGTCAAAATCAGGGGTGTGATTTTGTGTTGGTGGGGGTGACGAACCCTTGCATGGACTATCATGGACTTGCATGGACATGGAGGAAAGTATTTAGCAAAATGGGAGAAATAATTTTTAAAAAAACCTTCTCTTGGGTTGGGTCCGATTTTAATAAGTGCTCAATGAATTTAAGTAGTGTGTACATACATACATATTATTTATTAAATATGTTTTTTAACCTTATCTGATGGTCTTGATGATGATGACGATGTGAAATGAAATAGCCTCCGATAGCTCACTAATAGTTGGCTTGCAATGCAACTATAATTAGATTCGTTAAAATTGATTTAATGGAAACTTTACCAGAAATATGCATGCAGGATGAAGCATGAAATGCATATGAGTAGAGACTCTCAGAAATTCTGAGTCAGGATTTCTGATTGGTGCGCCCCTTGCATCATTTCATCAAACTCTGCCCTGCCACGCAGCCACGTCATCCATTTTTATAGTCGAGCTGCAACGGACGGACTTCAAGGTTAGTGTTCCTCAAATTTGGAAAATTTGACAACCCAAGGTAAAAATAGTTTATTAATTAGTTCTTGGCTAGTTAGTCCACTCTCTAGGCGATAAACTATTAATACCTGAATTTATTTGCAGGTCCGAAGTATTACGTCTATTATGGAAAGAAATTTGTCCGTGAAGGATGAGCCGGATAGTCCTAATGCAGCCATCACGGATTCCTTGGATGACTTTGAAGACGGGTGTCCTCCCAACAAACTTGTCTGCGTTGACTCTGGAAACTACCCAATTTTGAGGGGTCAAGACAAGAGGAAGCGACTACGAAAAGAGTGCTTGGAAGCTGTCAAAGCAGAAAATCAGTTTTTCGACGACTGCCAGAAGGATGGATTGGCTGAAGGAAACCTCAAGGGCAAACGAAAGTCGGCAAGAAAACCAAGTTTGGTGGCGACTAAGCCCGTGACACTAACACGCCGCAAATCGGCACTTCGGGCGGCTCGACGAATTCGAGCAATCGCTGAAGCAGAAGAAGATGAGCCAAGTTTCGTGCCATGCAATCTGCCACGACAACGGCCCGCTTTTGAAGTCAGTCCTGTCAACTTTGAAGCCAACGGCATTCTCGGAAATGGGAAGGGTACTGTTTATCCCAAGTATGAACTTGCTTCGCAGTACAACTTCATCATTCCCGAGCCGCACAGGTTCAAGAATGCTCCGTGGAAGCAAAGCCCAATTGAAGGAAGGGTTGGAACCAACCGTTTTGTAAGCTCTTGCAATTCCACTTAACATTATTCTTAGTATTATAATTATTATGTGAATGGCAATAAAAAGTTAACTGATGGTGTTTTAATTCTGCTCTTATTACTGTTGCTTGCAGATCTGTGGCGGCGTCGGTGAACTTGGGAGCAGATTTGGACCTGAAAGCCATTGCTGATGCATGTGTGAATTTGAGCTATAATCCCGAGTCATTCGCACCCTTGGTCATGCGTCTCAAAGATCCAATCGCCACGGCGATGGTCCACCGAGGTGGCCGGATGACCGTGGCTGGAGCCAAATCAGTGGAGGATTGTAAGATAGCGGTGAGAAAGTTCACAGCGATGGTTCGGTCGGTGGGATTCAATGTGAGACCATTTGGAATGTTGATTAAAAACATCTCTGCCACCTTCAGTGTTGGCTTCAAGATTAGGTTGAGAGACCTCTCCAAGAATCGAATGCTCACCCCACAAATAACGTGAGAAACCCATTCGACCAAATTACATACTCATCAATAATCCATCTACTTAATTAATAAGTACGTTTATCATTTGATTCGCTGACAGGTATGAGCCTGACTCGTTTACCGGAGTTTCGATGGCTTTGCCATTTCCGAAAGCTAATGTGATGGTGTTTCGGACTGGAAGCGGGATGATACAAGGTAATTAATTATCATATTTACCTACATTTATTTTGGAGGGAGAGATTTGAGATCCATTTCAGTTGGCACTACAATTATTTAATATATTTATTTGCAGGAGTTACCACTTTCAAGGATCTCGATAAGGTCTTCAAGATTATTTATCCCCACTTTAAGATGTATGCAATGTGAGAAGGGCAGGATCGTAAGAAACTATTTGGCACTCGAATTCAGTATCGTCTTCAACTTTGGAAACTTTTTCATTCGTAAACGAGAATCAAATTCACATCAAATTAAAAATAATTTAAATTTCATGTTATTTGATTTAAATATATTGTTACTAGTTGATAGAAACTTACATACCAATTCTAACCAATAGTAAGAATTAAATATGCACTTATCTTATTTATTACATTGTTGCATATAAAGTATATGAAATTAATAAAGCGATAATAAAATTGAGACAATTATATCTTAAGAAGTATTTAATTTGTAAGATCTAAAACACGGAATTACAAAGGTGATGATGATTTGAATCCGAATTGTGACAACTTTCACTACCGTCTTTGTTAAAATATCTCGTTAGAAGGTTCCGTTTTTGGATTTTTAGAAGAATAAGTGTGGATGCTGCATGTACTTCTTGGAGCTGATGATTGGAATAATTATTTACTTGTCGTTTCATTTTTTGTAACAAAAATTAACGGGAAGGAAATGTTGCAGAGTTGAAGAAATTTAGAACTTTCTCCACACAGGTTGCGACATTTACTGACTGATGACTGCTCAACTCCCACAAAATAATTTATGGTCAAGGAAAAGGTGTGTGTGCGTTTGGGTCAACATATTTCCATTTCTGAGAATTAGTTAATTCGAGAAAATTGAGGAAACGCGAATTGTTGATGAGGAGTGACACGTTTTAGTCGATTTACTCAGAATTTGACATGTTCATTACCATATCACGAATCAAATGGATGAGAATTTCAGTTTGGGAACCTATTAGAAGGATTGATTTAGAAAGAAAACTTTGATCTCGAGTGAGTTGGAGCAAAAGCTATAAAATAATTCGCCGAAATTGAGCAGGGATTAATCAAGCGTCCAGTTTTACACTTCTGTAGCTTAAGGGCCCGGGGGAAGATTTACTTGATTTTATGTTAGCAACAATAATTGCCAGGGCCCCAAGATTATTATCGCTCTGTTAGGTTACGACCACAATTAATTGACACCGTTTCTATGGGACACTCACGTTCAAAAGCTTTGGTTTTGTCACTGCTTTTGAAAAAGTTTCCCTCAAGTCCCTCAAGTTTTTGAAAAAAGTTGTTTCTTTTGTTCCATGGATACTCAAAATGCAATTCCTGCCATTAATTTGGCAATTCTAAGCCAATTTGTCCTCACTTTACGACCAAATATCTCCACTGCACAAGAGGGCAGATCGTCAAAAAAAACTCAAGTAAAATCTAAAGATATGATTAACGCATTAAACATAATTTAAAAAATCTGCCCTCTTGTGCATTGCTGAATTTTATCGTCAAAGTTGACGTGATTTCTAAGCAACTTCCCCCAGGCCCTTAATTTAATAATTTTCATGGACATTGAGTACTCTGATTTTTTTTAGAAATGTGTAGCAAGAACAATGATCAGGATGCATCTGTTATCCTTTGCCCCGATTTCCGATTTGTTTCAAAAGACAAAATAAACACAAAATGATATGTGCTTCATTTCCGGTTGTCATTTGTAGCAGAAAAATGGAGCGTTATGGAGCGTTACGTTGTCGAAGAAACTGTTCAAAATTGGTCGAGTAGGGAATTGATTGAGTTCAATGGCTAAGGCGTTGCATGCGAGGAATTCAGCGACAGGTCAACGAGATATGGATCAACTTCGAGTGTCTTGCACACACTTGCAGATTTATTCCTGTACATGTAAAAATGAAACGTTTCATGAATTGCAAATATTCATTAAAAACTTCGCTCAGTTTAGATTGATCACATTTAATTTGATTATTACGATTTGGTCACATTCATCTTGATGTTTGTTCCAGTCGTCATACTCCGCAAGACAAGTAATGCTCGTCTCATCCAGGGTATTCCCCACGGGCACAACCCCATTCAGACAATATTTGTAGGCCTGCATACCAAATAATTGCATTAATTTATTAGCAATAGAAAAGATGACATTAATTATAATTTGTATGCATTTTATCACCAACCAGAGCAGGATAGTAGCTCACGTACAACGGGAGGGAACACATTTCATCCTCCCGCAGCGTCAAAACTTGACCGGCATCAATCAGTTGAACTTTATGGTGTGGAATTTTACGGTCAGAAACATTAGTAACATTCGATTCTAAGATGACACCTCGGAACCAAGTTCGTACACCCTTTTCCATATGCCTCACAGCGACCAGTTCCGTCAAGGCGTAATGGGCTGATTGGCGTTGACGCCATGTCATGTTGGGTTCCAAAAGTTCGTTCAGTTTGGCTTTAATCTTCTCAAACGCCTCGACTCCAGTGCCTAAGAATGAACACGAGCAAGAAATTTATGAAATTGACCACCACATCTTCATTGTAGACTTTAAGAGATCATCAAATTTATATTGTTTACCGAACTCTTCGGTTACCGTGTCTGGAACATGCTTCATCGACCCATCATACATCATCGGGTTCATGGGTTCACTTTTTGGGACAATTTTGTAGACACTTTTTGAGACAAAATTTTGAGACAATTCTTGAGTCTAAATTTTGAGACAAAGTAGAATACATATACAGCATTCATTTCATGCACACTACAAGAGAAACTCGACTTTGTGTAGTCGAGTTTACTCGGTTTGCGAGAACACATCACATGAATCCACTATTCTATTCGACTGCAAAAAGACTGTCTGCTGTTGCTGAATAATAGTTTTAAAATAAATTGAAAGTTTAACTATTTCCTACAATCAGATAAAATGCAAAGTACAATTAATGACGAGCCTTTGATAGCACTTATATCAGGGTAGTCCGTAAAGTAAAGGTTTACATAATATATTACATAATTAATTAGTTAACTGTAAGGTATTAACATTTGTTGTCATCAGTCTTCTCTCACGTGAGTCATCTTCTATTCGACTTATCTACGTACAGCTGCTGTCTGCCTAGCTCTGCCGTGTGCCGTATTTTTTAATCCACCCATTAATTATCTAATCATTATTAAACTTAATTTTTACTTGGGTGGACACACAAAATGTACTGAATATTGAAAATAATTGTGAAGATAGATATCATAAGTATAAGTATATCCATATGTGCGGCCAGAAAATCTATTATTTTTACGCTTATATACACAACTCAGAACTATTATTAACTAAAAATATACATAACCAACCGAATTGAAAAAGTGCCAACTTTTTATACAAGTTTTTACTGGTAGGAAGACAGTGTAAAGATGTCTTGGAAGGTAGGGTTATCAACTGTGATAATTGTTTTGGCCATTGTGACGAGAGGAGGATTGTGTAAAGGGGATAATTATGAGGATGAGGTGATTTATTGTATTTTATGGTGATGAGATTGAGGAAATTATGTCTTAATTTTTATGTACGTCTGATGTTTAGGATGTGGCGACGACGACATCGTCGTCCAATGTGACCTACAAGTATGGAGAAATGACCCTGTTTGCGGATAAGGTGACGCGTCAACCCCTGGGAAATGTGGTCTGTATCGTGCACCCGTCCAATTACTTGATGACTGGAAATTTGACTGTGAGATTAATTAAATATTTGTATTATAATGAATCAATTGTTGTCGTCTGGTGACTAATTTGATATATTGGCAGCGCTACAAGTTGGAGAACCATACGGACATAAATCCCTGCGATATGCCAGGACCCCCGAAACCAGTTAGAAAAGAGAAAACGCTTCTGTTAATGAATGTCCAGCCAAATTGTAGTCTGATAAATTACCTGGATTTTGCAGAGGTTAGAAATATATAGGATTATTAAAGTAGTTAGTATTTGTCATCTCATGTTCATATCTTGTCTTCTTCCCCAGGAACAAAATGCTTCCGGTCTGCTGCTTATAGCTGAAAAACTCCCAGTTATCTTAAATAATGAAACGCATTCGGAAAAAATAGAAATTTTAGCCTATCTGTACTCTGAGTCGGTTTCGAAAATAAAGGTAAGCATGATAAGAGATTATTCGGCTATCTGATTAGTGGAATGACTATCAAAATTGATTATCTCTATTCCAGGACTTGATAATCAATAAACCATACGTCGAACTTAATGATATTACAGCAGACGACGGTTTCGAATGGAGTACGGTCATCTTGTGGGTATTGGCGTGTTTCTGTGTGGCTGTTGGATCACTTGCTGCACCTTATTACGAACCTCAAAAGTAATTCTCGTATAATTTTTGCATGTCTGACAGATTCTCTGTCCATCTATATCTTAAAAATTAATTTTATTAGGTCGAGCAACACACACCAGCAAATCTTGGATGGAGAATCGAATGAGGCAATCGTCCAACCTGAAAGCGCTCTCCAAGTCTATTTCAACGTTAAAGTAGTTCTTGTCATGGTAGTCTTCATTTCAACAACGTTAATGCTGCTCTACTTCTTTTTCGAATACTTGGTCTACTTTTTCATGTTTGTATTCTGCGTCGCTTCGGGAAGAGCATTATTCGAAGTCTTGGTCCAACTCCTAAATTTATGTCAAATTAATGACCAAATTCCAAGAATCAAGGGGATTGGAATTCACAAAATCCTCTTGACTGGAATATGCATTGCTCTCCCGTTGACTTGGTTCTTCCTCCGACACACGGCTTACATTTGGATATTGGAAGATCTTCTAGGCGTTTGCTTTTGGTAATAAAAAAACTGAATTACAAATATTATGCATTGTTAAAAGTTATAATTTGTATACCATTTCAAAATCTTGTCTATTTCTTCCAGTATTCATCTCATTCAAACCATGAAAATACCCAACTTGAAGATTTGTACGGTTTTACTCTCATTGCTGTTTATTTATGACATTTTTTTTGTATTCATTACGCCGTATTTGACTCCGGTAAGCTCGAGGTCTTATTACCTAAACTATGATTGAATGATTGAAAATAAATGATGAAAATTATAATTATTATTAGAATGGAAAAAGTATCATGGTCGAAGTTGCGACTGGTGCTGGATCAGGAGAAAGGTTGCCTCTGCTTCTACAAATTCCACGATTACGAATCGTCTCGCCATGTTATGACAAGGGGTATGTCGCACAATAATTAGTAGTTATTTTGAAATAAAGTGTATCTAAAATTTGATATAATACCCCCATCTTCATATTATAGTTTCTCACTTCTTGGATTTGGTGACATCATCTTGCCTGGATTCTTGGTTGGATTTGCAAATGCGTATGACATTGCAAAACGAGAAAAATATCGGCCATATTTCATCACTGCCATGCTGGGTAACATGACAAATCATAAATTAATGATTATTAACCTATCTAGTTTAATAATAATTTAAGAAAAATTAATATTATTATTCCATTCCAGGTTACGCTATCGGATTAAGTATTGCTTTTGTGGCTTTATACCTGACCAGAACTGGACAACCTGCCCTGCTCTACATTGTCCCTGCCGTTTTAATCCCACTTTTCATCGTGGGTGCTATTAGAAAACAATTTCGCGATATTTGGTACGGCATTGTGAGAAATTGATGAAAATCATAATATATAATCACACAAAGATTTATAATTTACTAGTTTAGTCGGTAGTAGTATTATCGTCTTGTGATTAGAGACAGTAGCAAGAAAAAACGCATATTAGTCGTAGGTGTGGCTCCTGTCCGTGACTGATTGAATTAATACATTACATAATATCTAATTAATGAAATGACCTAGTACTTGACGACGCAAAGAAACAATTAACACAAGCAGCAAATGATTCACGTGGCTTTAACTAACGTGTAAAATTAGCAGATAAGTTATACATAATTATAATTTTGTAATAATTTATTTTATGGAATTAAATATCATAATAATAATTTTGTATTAAAGCATAATAAAGTGGCTCCTAAAAAAGAAAATAAGTTTCAAGAAAGCATTTAGCGTTTTTTTACATACAAAAATGATTTAATTCTAATTCTGAAAATTATATCCTTGAGTAATAAAAAGGGAAGTTTTTTAGTCAATTTTTTTTTCAGAAACTTTGAGGGTTTTTGTTACTCCTTTTTGAGACAAGTGAGACCGGCGAAATATAAAAATAAGCGGCACTTCAGCTCCACTCGTGCTCTTTCTTTGTCAGTGGTTTCTCCCCAAAAAGCTCGTGGACAAGACACGCTTGTTTTTTGATTAAAAAAATTTGAAGTCTCTTTTCCAATTAATTTGTAAACTCTTAACAATTTTACCTTATCCAACATGGACAGTCTGTGTCAGCAATTTACTTACACACTGAGCATGTTCAACTGTATGAAGGACTATATCAGAGTTCGACCTGACCTTCACGGAACCTTTATCATGGCCGTGCAACAGCAACTGTACGAGACTAATATAACCGACGACGAAGTGTAAGTTTATTTTGTAATAACTAGATAAATCCGGGTTTAATTATATTGTCTTCTTATTATTTCCGACAGCTCGGCTTTCGGTTATTTTGCCCTGGATCCAGAAGCTTTCATTGATTATGCCTTTAGTAAGTTGGTATAAAGTTATTTTTCGTCGGTGGTTGGAGAATGATGGAGACATTTATGTAATGCGGATGACTGATATGATTGCAGACAAGATCACTAACCATGGGCAAGAACTGAATTCAACTGATTGGGTGCCGATGATGGTATCCCTTGTGCATGGCGTGGTTATTAAGAACGTCTTTAGACTTCATGGGTTGGTGAGTGCTACTAAAATATGAGTTTAATATTTTAAATAATAACGTATAGATCGATGGGCAAGGCTAATTAAAGTTGTTTCATGTTGTAAATATAGATCCCAAACTTAAATGTGATGAGCCCAGCAGGGATTGAAGCTATCGACGGGAGGCTTGTCCATTTCCGAGGCATGGTCCAACGTCAGCATGACCCTAAGGTGTACAGACCATATATCCGGATTCGAAACACTGCTACTGGAGCTGTCGTGGAGAAATGCAGCGTATTTTCCGACAAAGTCGAGGTATTATTATCGCAAATTGTAATGATTCAAATAAGGGAGGAAAACGGTACGAGTTGTAATGCTTAAGTAACACTTTAAACACTATATTATTAGCTGAAACCTGGCCAAGAGTTGGTGGAAGAGAACGACTGCTCCGGATTGAAGCAGGTTGAGTTCATAACCTTCGTATCAGTTCCAGGGGAAAGCGAGTGGAAATTACAGGTTTGGTCTTTTTAAACTTTTTTGTGGACAATTTTGTTGCAATTTTTGTAAATTTATTACAGCGGGATATGGACGTTAATAGGGCATATAAGAACATTATGTTTGCCACACCACCGTCGTCCGGCCTATCTGTTCCACTTGTTTGCTTAGAAGGCCAGTTGGAGGACCGACTGAATCCAATATCAGTCTTAGCTAAAGTACAAGAATTATAGATATACGATATAAAAGACGACAATGCAATTAACATGTTCGTAATTAACTGGTACATAGATGCATCGCCGGTTAAATCATAAGGATGAGATTAGGATGAACGACATCGTGAACCTTGTCGGACTAGTAACAGTTGACAAGAGTGGTACAAATGTAAGTCAGATGCGATACATTATTAATATGCAAGTTCAATTATGCTAGTTTTTATAAAGTACTGTGTACTTGTATGTTGTACTATTTACATAATCAGGACGATGGAATGAATGGTTCTGCGCCAAATGAGGCCAATAACCAAGCACAACTGTCCCTGTCCGTCTTGGGATATTGGAAAGCAGAGCCAGAAGATTTAGGTAATTGTATTTTTATCTTAAAATGTATAACGCAATCAACTGTGTTATATATTAAGTTAATCAAGTATTTATATTTAATGTTTTTTTTTACAGACGACACTTTGCTGGAAACGGCTTTCACTGACTTTAAAATATTCATCACACAATGTTTACGTGGGGATGAGTTGTGCGCTCATTACGTCTTAATGAATATATTGTCTTCTGTGTAAGTGTAGGTTGTATAAATATGAACATGAACAAATAATCTAATTGTCATGAATTGTATATATAGGCGTTGTCGGACAGACGGAATTCCAGTTGGTCATTTTCCACTCTGCATCACTGGAATCCCTGAAGAAGTGTCACGTGATTTACATCGCGTTGTAAAAGCCTTCGTTCCTTCGTCAGTGTATTTGACAAATTTTTTGGAATCAGTAACCAATGAAAACTATGTCCCGTGGTAAGATTCGATCCTCTGTTCTTGTACAAATATTTTATTCGGATCAACGAGTTACGCAAGAAAAGTTGCATAAAACCGATCAAAATGCTAAATATAACTTTATTTGCAACTTATTCTTTGTTTTCTATACGAAGTTGGGTTTCATTGCTCAATTTGGTTATGCAATTTTGGCAAAATTATGCAATCACAAGAAAGACCAATTACATGTATTGTTCAAGTATGTAATTAGTTCTATTTGGTATACATAGTTGTTCTTGTTTCACAAGTGGTTCAAGTAGGATTAAAGATTTGCAAAATAAGTCAAGCATCCTTGAATATTTGAAACACTTAGATTCAACACTTTAATCGGATACTAATTTTGCGGTTGTTCACTTTCCAGGATGGATTACGAGGCCGATAAGCTCGTTACGGGAGCATTGCAGATTGGAAATGGGACCCACTTGTTCGTTGAAGAGGCTGATATAAGTGAAGAGAAGCTTCGAAATTTACAAAAGAATACTCAAGGTAATTCTCAATTTGTGTATAGTTCATGTTCTCTACCAGCTTATGTTCTGCTCTGGAGTCGTCGTTTAGTTCTCTAGGGAGAAGAGAGATAGTTGAATGCTATATAGGCAATTATTGCTTTTATTGGACTGGATTATAAACAGTGTAATTGATAAGGCAGCATAGCACAAGTAGAGAGTTGTAGATGTCACGCCTACAGCTAGACATTCTGAACTATGCAAAGTTCGCAATAAGTTTTGCAGTTTTGAGTGAGCTACGTAACAGTGGAACGGATCATAGCTGTTCAAACCACAGTGTGGATCCACAAAGTGGACTGTGGTGTGGAAAGTGGACACGATATTTTTGTGGTTTGTGGAATTGTGGATTGTAGTTTGTGGAAAAGTTTGTGGTTCGTAGTTGTGGAGTCCACAACTACAATCCACAAAACCACAGACTGGTCCACAATGTGGGCAGGTCTGTAGTTTATAGTTATGGTTAAGTTTTGAGGCATTCCTGTGAATGATATAGCCTTAGATAAATAGTTAAACACACGTTTCATGATTTTTCAAAATGCACACTGAAAACCATGTTATAATCCGTAAGCGGGAATTTGGATCTTAAAATTTCGCTGTAAAAAATGCGAATTGTCGCTCACGTATAACGTTATAACTTCGTTGCAACTGAGCATTATGAAAAATTCTGAAACACGTGTTTAATTATGTATGTAATTACTAGTAATTAGCATATGTAGCTGTTCAAACCAAAGTGTGGATCCACAAAGTGGACTGTGGTGTGGAAAGTGGACAAGATTTTTTTGTGGTTTGTGGAATTGTGGATTGTAGTTTGTGGACAGGTTTGTGGTTTGTGGAATTGTGGATTGTAGTTTGTGGAAGGGTTTGTGGTTTGTGGAATTGTGGATTGTAGTTTGTGGAAGGGTTTGTGGTTTGTGGAATTGTGGATTGTAGTTTGTGGAAGGGTTTGTGGTTTGTGGAATTGTGGATTGTAGTTTGTGGAAAGGTTTGTGGTTTGTGGATTTGTGGATTGTAGTTGGTGGATTGGTTTGTGGATTGTGGTGAGATGAAATGAACAGCTATGGAACGGATGCTGCTGGGGTACACGGCGTGCATTATGGTATATGACTTGATGGAGATTATTATTATTCATACGGGAAAGAAATGTTCCAGCAAGGGCCTGAAGGCTTAACAGGGAAATTGAGTTGAGTGATGAGCAGTTCTGCTTCCTTGTCAGACTCCATTATTCTTTACCTTGAGGTTCAGCACCGTCGAGTGGTATTCTCTGCCCCCGAGATAATTATTCATTTCTGAATTGTTTCCATCAATACGCTGGAGACATGTATATGTATATTTAACGCTATGCAATGTAACCGGCAGAGTAAGAGGCAAGCTATGGGGAAATTTTACCCAGCCAGGATTATTACGTATAGGGTGAGATTGTGTTGGATGGAAGAAGGGAAAAAAATACTATAAAGTTATTGACAGGTTGATTTGATGGATGAACATAAATCCAACTAGAGCTGTGATTAATTTTGCAATTTTTTTCTTTTTTTAGCCAAGAAGAATTTAGCCGGATTAGAGAGTCTGATTGGAAGCCAGACCATGGCGTATGATTTTATCTATCAGCGAATGGATATATTTCATGATGCTCCTGTACTCATCTTGTCTTCTGCGAAGAAGACCATGTTTTCCGTAAGCATAAGAGTAAACTGCATATAATTGTAAGCTTTTGTTAACTAATGTTCATTTCTTTTTTCACTTTCAGAATGTGTTACAAGTGCCTTTCAGACCTGCTCAATTACCTGAGGGGTATGAGAACTTTACCCGTCCAACAATTACGATTGAGTTACTTCAATTGGAAGATGTCGACCTTATCCGACGCGCAATTGTTAAACTCAAAGCGAGGAAACAAATTGAGATTAGAGAAGACGTGGAAGAAGTGAGTACATATTTAGAATACGGTTTGGTTTTACAGACATTTTTCGAAATTTGTACAGTAATTGAACGAAAAAGTTTCTGCTTCGGAGAGCACTTCACATTCGAACCATTTATTTGATTCAGAAAGCAATTTCAAATTTGCCCTTTAGCTTCTAACCCATAATTTCTCCCATAATTTGACCCCTGACAATTAGAATAACTAACTAGTTTCACCAGTTTTGCTGATGATGCTGTCAGTAGCGAAGGTGATAATTAATTGCCACGTGTTCTATTTCTAGGAGATTGGAAAAGATTTTGCCAACATGCGAAGCAATGGAATCAAGATAGATTCGGAAGGACTTTCCGCCTTGGTAACTCAAGCTAGGTAAGTGTGTACACTATGCAAGCGTACGTACGTACGTACCATGTATTGGATATGTATTCTGAGGAACTAGTTACTTGTCCCAAAAGTTTGCCACACATGTCTCAAGTTTGTGAAAAGAGCTCGAGTAACTACATCAGACTTTCAGCCAACCACTTACCAGTACAGTGACTACCAGCATTGATTGATTTGTCAACTCTAGAGATTTGGATTAGGAATCTTAAATTAAACTTTTCTTCAAAAGAAGGGCTCAGCATGTTGTGAAGTTTTAAAATGAAGGGGAGAGCTTTTGCTTCCAAGTCTCGTCACTTGCATTCCAAGAACTATACTCTTCTTGGACGACTCTTACAAGTTTTCCTCTCCTCAATGTGGCCCAACTTGCATTGATTCATCCAACACAAGTCTTTTGAATTGAATTATTTGAGGAGAATTGGAAAGAATGAGACTTGTGAAGGGAATTCGTTTCGTCTCTCTCTCTCTCTCTGATTTAATTTCATTGGCTGATTTTGTGTGTTGTATTATATTTGTAGAATCTTAACATTCATTGCGGGAAGAGTCAACCTAACGGTACAAATTTGGAAGGAAGTGCTCAAATTTGATGCCGAAATGCGACAGCGAATCCAAGAAGGAGCGAACAACTAACTGAAATGGTTGTTCAAAACAGCGTCTTCCAAACTCAAGACCTAAATACCCTTATTTTAATACAAATGTAAAATTAATGTCTTTTGACTCAGCTTAGAATAAGTTTTATAATTGCTTCTATTGAGCATAAATACAGGTGCAGCTAAACCTTTGAATAATATAATGAATAAAGACACGAGGAGAAAGCGTAGCAGTTTGATTTGTGAATTTATTATTTCCACCGTCACACATTTCCATAGAAAAGATGAGAAAAGTCGGTCGTATTCATTCCACACGTAGGAGAAGGAGTAAAAGAAGGTTTCGCTATATATAAGTGAAAGCGTGAGCGGACGACTTCCGGCTCTTTGGGTTCTCGCTATTGAAATTCAAGTGCTTGGAGAAGTGGAGAGAGAGAGAGGAAAAGAAGGCGTGAGGCGAGTTTGGTAATTTCGCATAAATATGACTTTAATGGATTATGGCCCCCTGCCTGCAGAATGTGCAGATTTTAGCAATGAGCATTTTTCCTTATAACGAATTTTACATTATTCCTTGTTTCACTTGTGACTTTTAATAGACACAAAAAAAGATAAGTTTGCACCACTTTTAGTGGCACGATCAACGTCGCTTTTTTTGATAACCAACCCCTCGACAGAAATGAGATGACGATACGATGGGCCATTTTTCTCTGCGCCCTACTTGCAAATTTGCAAATTAAACAAGGGGTTCAACGGGTAGAAAGTTTAAAAAATTCAGTGGCTCATTCATTCCTGGCTCATTTTCATCTCCTCTTCGATGTCGGCTTGTATGTAAAATGCATATGTACGTACGTCCACATGTGTCCACATGTTTGATACGACAACACAACAACGGAATTCTTGCCATGGATGGATGTACGCAGTGGCCGCGGAAGCTTGAGGGGACAATTTCCCCACGGTTGTTCGATATCGGTATCATCTCCCCATCTTATATAAACCCGATCCCTCCCCTATCCTACAATGTTAATGTACCCACAGCTTCCGCAGCCATTGGTTATTAGTTTGTCTATATATTCAGTGACCGCGGAAGCGTGGTGACAGAGGGACAATGTCCCCACGGTTATTTGATGTCCCCATCATCTTATAAACCCCTCTGTTCCCTAGTGTTAATGTCCTCAGATATCAGATATCATCCGTCCCTTCCCCCCATCCTACAATGTTACTGTCCCCCCTCACCTTCCGCGGCCACTGGCTCTACCTCTGCACATACTTTTCGATGGTCTCTCTGCTGAATTTTCATCACGTCATCATCTCCTCCGATAATCATATCATGAAAGGGGTGAAGAGAACGAGGCGAAAAAGCAGTTGGTTTTAGTGAGTCGAGTGTTCAGTTTAATAACCAGGATCGACTTTTGTATGTGTGCTTTCTCCTTTCTCTTCCCGTGATGTGGTCCTTAATTCACTCAGTCACTCATCCAAAACTGCTTTCTCCCATTGCCCCCCAGAACAATCTCACTCTTTCCTCGCCATGCATATAATATCCGTCCATCCATTTGGTACATAATACATTTGCACATTTCCTCCCCCTTACGTGGCGGCCGTGGGATGGTATACATTTTGTGAAATGGCGTCGAATTTCGGCCATTAGCAAGACATTACTCCGCCAACGCTACGTACGCCATGGACAATTTTCGCCCTCATTTTTATTTTATGCCGAACCCTGCGCTTGTTTGCTTGCTTGTTGGCCCGTGTTTAGCACGAGTTAAACACAAGAAGCAGTACGTACGTACAATGGGCGAGGAGTGAGTGTGCTTCATGTTTTTATGAGAGTAAGGAAAGCAGGTTGCATGCATTCCATAATAATATCCAGCTCTTTATTACAAAGAAAAAGACATTAAGGTGGGAGTGAAAGTTGTTGTGTGAGGAGGAGGCCGAGACGCGTTTCGTATAGGGAATAGTACACCCAGTGGCCGCGGAAGCCGTGGGGACATGTGGGGACCTTAATCTTGTAGGATGGGGGTGGGGGGGACGGGTTTATATAAGATGGGGAGCATCGAACAACCGTGGGGATATTGTCCTTCTGTCCCCTCAAGCTTCCGCGGCCACTGCATCATGTACATACATGTTAGTAGACTGAATTCCCCCAGTGGCCGCGGAAGCCGTGGGGACATCTGAAGCCATTAACATTGTAGGATGGGGGAGGGCCGGGTTTGTATAAGATGGGCAGATGATGCCGACATCGAACAACCGTGGGGACATTGTCCCCTCACCCTCCCGCGGCCACTGATCACACCACATGAAACGATGAACTAGAAGGAAATCTATAAGGTTTTGGATGCAGAGAAAGCAACAGAATTAGGACGACGACCACGACCACTAACAAACTTTTGAGCTGATGAGGAACCCACAATTATTTCATTCCCTGTTATTATCACCCCACAATGTGTCAGGTTGATGGGTGTAAATATGTGGACGAGCAGAGGAGCAGCAACTAATTGAATTTTTTTACCCTTTCAACTACTAACCCAAGCCAAGTAATATGATGTCGCACAAAAGGTGCTCGTCACGGAAAGAGACTAACTCGTTTTCTCTCTCAAACACAGACAAAAGTAGTCCGTGGTGGCAATGTGAGAATTTAGGTTGGAAAGTTTTCCAAGGTGTGTATGTGTCCATAATAATAATTCGGCTTGGTGTGTCCCTCCTCTAATAAGCGGGGACTCTATGCATAATATGCAAAATGTCGAGATAATCACAGCATAGTGATTCATTTCATGTAAAAATGTGTGGGGCTCCTGGATTGAAAAGAACGAAGAGCTGAGAAGCAGCTACGTAGATACATGACCTAGACGGGAATTTATCTCGTATTTATATATATATTTCTTTCCTTTAAAGTTTTCCTTTCTTGGGGGGAGCAGCAAGCAGAATGTGGATTTAGACGTATAGATATAGAAATAGTTAGTGGTGGCCGCGGAAGCTGTGAGGACAGAGGGACAATGTCCCCACGGTTGTTCGATGTCCCCATCTTATATAAACCCGTCCCTCCCCCCATCCTGCAATGTTAACGTCCCCAGTTGTCCCCACACCCTTCCGCGGCCACTGGTGCTGCCGGGTAAAGTCAGACTCTGTTAATATCCCCTTCATTCTCCACTGGAAAAGAAACCATATAGGACGACTTACGACCAACCACATCACATTAAAATTGGCTAAAACGAAAGTTTTTCTTTGAGCCAACTTTCCACAAACTGACCCTTCTAAATTTAGTTGGCCGTCTTTTTCCCTTGCTCCCACAAAGGCGGATGAGCAGAATATAACAAAGTGTTTGGGCTTGGGCAGTGACTCAGGGAGAGAAAGAGGATGTGAAAATTTATTTCCAAATGGCCAACACACAAAAATTTTCTCCTAATGCATCCTCCATCCAGGGGCCGCGGAAGGGAGAGGGGACAATGTCCCCACGGTTGTTCAATGTCGGCATCATCTCTCCATCTTGTATAAACCCGGCCCTTCCCCCCCCCATCCTACAATTTTAATGTCCCCACATGTCCCCTCTCCTTCCGCGGCCACTGCTCCCATCCTGACTGGATGAGACAAACGTAATCCAACGTCATGTATGTGGCCGTGGTGGTGGTAGGCTTCCTCAGAAAAATGGAGCCTGTCCTCCCAGAAAAAGCAGGGTCATCACAATTATGAGGGCGGCGGATGACGCGGATGGACACACAAAATCCACCAACGCCAAAGCCACAAAGCGACTCGGACATATCGCAAGTCTCGGCACAAATTGTCCTTTCGTGGGGAGTCATGTCGGCCTCGATTATTGAATATTATTTATTATTATTATTAAAAGTATGGGTATGGGGGAGCTCTACGTAACGTACTAAATATTATGCTTAGTCGTGCATAACACGAGCCGTTCGAATTATTTTATGAATATCTATCCACAAACCGACCAAAAAAGAAAGTTCGGCTCAGAACAAACAGTGGCCGCGGAAGCTTGAGGGGACAGAGGGACAATGTCGCCACGGTTGTTCGATGCTAACACGAGCCGTTCGAATTATTTTATGAATATCTATCTACAACCAACCCACCAAAAAAGAAAGTTCGCCTCGATGTAGAACAGTGGCCGCGGACAATGTCCCCACGGTTGTTCGATGTCCCCATCATCTCCCCATCTTATATAAACCCGTCCCTTTCCCCCTATCCTACAATGGCAATGTCCCCACAGCTTCCTTCCGATGCACTGCCACTGATGCAGAATGTGGGGGTAGCGTTGCATAACCAACCAACTTTTTTTTACAGATTTGCATGCAGAGTATGAACATAAGATGTAAGTAATGTGTAAAAAGTGAGGCTTTATTAAAATACGGAAAAATTTCGAGCCATACACTTCCAGAGGGAAAATTTCTTTTAAAATTACCCCATTTTTGTTCTACTTTAAGCTTTTGAAAGGCATTGCGTAATAATAAAGTGTGTCATATATAATACGTAACTTACTCATCGTAATCTGTCACGTATGCATGTCCGTCCATAAGAAGAAGACCGTCTTGATCTGCTTAATTGCGAGGAAAGACGAAAACGAAGATGAAATCATACTCTTTCCAGACGAAGGAAGGGCTTAATTCGCGCAGTGATTACAGTACTACGCCCAATGCCGCAATTTCCACTCTGCATGATCAGAAGAAGAAGAAGAGAGCATTTATTTGATGAGAAGATGACGTGGAAAAGGAGAAAATGAGATAATCTGCTCTTCTTCTCCTGCGTGTGTGTGTGTACGGAAGTGAGTGAGGAACAAGGTGAGTGAGCCTGCCGCAGGAGAAAACCTGGACCTGGACGTTGTCTTTGTGACACTTTCAATTTCCAAAATGTCACAAAGTGTCACCTTTCTTGGTGAAAGAGTGTGGTTGCTGAAAGAGAGAGTCGTGCGTTCTCCTGCGAGAAGATTTAGGCAGGATTTCTTCTTTCCCCTTGTTTTCGCTGCTGGGTTGCTTAGTTTAGTCCCGGATAGAATAGAATAAAAGGACAAAATGCATTTCTTTTTTAGCAGTTTGGCTAACGGAGGACGAGAGTGCGAGAAAAAGGTTGGTTCGTTTTCTCTCAAGAGAGACCGACTTTCTCCTCTCTTTTTTCATCTCGGCTTCCAATCATAATCGTTCTTCTCCGTCTTTTTGCTTATCATCGCTACATATTCCCAGTGGTAGATATGTACATACTTCTACTATCTATCTACCTTCTCTCCATCCTGGCAGAGGAGAAAATTTGCAAATAAATAATTTCGCGAAAAAAAAGAGAAAGAAAGATATGCATGCATGCAAGGGGGCAATATCACTCATTTTCGAGTTATGTATAAGAGGTTTGATTACATCCAGCCTGCTGGGTTTGGCTGATAAGCGGTCCAGATTCTTGATATAAGACCACATCTGGTAGTGAAACCTGATTGCGACACATTTACATTGTGCGAAGGTCGAGGGGGGACAAGTAGTAGTTTTTCCTAGCTTTAGGAAAAAAAGAAGAAGTAGACGACTTGCATGGCTCCTTTGTGCCTCGGTTACACTATCCGCTGGGTTTTGGTGTGGTATCATGAAAGACTTTGGGCAAAAATTCTTGGTCTTCTTCCGAAATCCACTAATATATCCACACGGAAAGGAAAAAGAGCTGGGGGTATGAGTCGGCGGACTAATGCCCGGCTCAGGCAGAGCGTAGTAGTCTTCTTCTCCTGGTGATCTGGTGCTGAACAAGTCGCAAAATAAACTGTTGAGTGGTGTGTGTGCATGTGTGTAGACTTCTCCCCTTTTCCCTGCGCCGGTCTTGCTTGCTCCCGATAATTTCGGAGGTTTTCGGCCTGGGTGTAGAGCTGAGGCAGTGATGGACTCCTCAGTCGACGGTCGGAAGCGCCTCGGCCATGTGCTTACGAGAAGAAGAGAAAATCGTGTAGTTTCCTCAGTTTGACTCACTTTCCTCCAGGTCGGCAAGCTGAGAGTATCACGAGCAGCAAGCAGGCAGGCAGGGCGAGTAAATTTCGGCACGTCTCAGCCTTCTGGTTCTCAAACATCTGTCCGCATCGCGGAACGGTATCTACTCCGCGTGGTGTGGTGGTTGTGACTGAAACGGTCCGTGTTGATAAGTACTTTGATAAGTAAGATAAGTTCAAAGTGAGATAAATAGATCGAGTTATACTTCCTGAGAACAAGTGGTTAAAAAGTCTGCATGCAAAATAATAATGTCATCTTCCCGACGTCTTCTTAAAGGCTGGTGAAAATAAGACTTATCTCCTTTCCTGATTAGTAAAACGATCGTAATTCATGTCACATTGCATGAACTCATTTTGCCCGGATTCTTCCTTCCAAGTAAAGAGGAACTTTGTATTCCATCACATCCTCGCCTGAGTTCTGACTTCTCTCTGTGTTTGTGTATCTCTCCTCTGCACGTGTTTGTCTCTCTCGGTGTAATAACTTTTCGAGCAAGTGGACGGATTTGAGAGGAGAGAAGAAGCAGGGAAAGTGGAGAAAGGTGGTTTCTTCTCTCCCGTGTGTTTTGCACCTGTTGGGCCAGAAGCAGTGCTTGCTTGCTTGCATGCATTCACTTTCTGGTGGGGGGACGAATGTAAGAATAATCTCGGAGGTGAAAGTACCAACCAACTTCCTCTCGTAAGACTTTCACCCATGTCTTCTCTCCCGTGATAATGAATACTGCTCCATCCTCGTCCTTTTTTGGTGCTTGATCCCTGAATCTCGTAGTGAGTCAGAGATTGGAGAAAGCAGTGCGTTGAATTCGCCGTGAACAGAACAGTCGCCTGCTGCCTGGGAATATGTAACTCTCTGGTGAATTGGAGACTCCTTCGCTGACTCAAATTGATGAACACACAGAGACAGAATTTTCTCCACGCTCCAGTTCTTTCTCATTTCCAAATTTGGATACAAATATCACCCAAAAAGAAAGGAACACACTCACCTGATCAGGTTATAAATAAGTAGCTCTCTCCCCCTCTCAGGTTTTGGAGCATAACAATAATCGTATCGTAACGATGATGACTCTGTCATTTCTTGCTACTCCCCCTCAAAGTTTGACTATTAGTTTATGCACAACTCGCATAATAAATGAGCAGGTTTAAAGAAGTCGACGCGATTCATGTCACTCAAAGAAGAAGAAGGTGGTCGTAGGCGAGGAGAAAGTGGGACGACGTGTGTGCATGTGAACAAAGAAGAAGAAGAAGCCAAGTGGCCTGGCCGGAGAAGCGAGTGAGCGAGTGAAACTGTGAGAATGTTGAAATGGAAATAGATTAAAGCGTTTAAGTGCTCTTCTCATGATTTCAACTCCCTCGACGTAAACTTTCCCTGGCATCGTGATCATCATCATCATCATCTCGTCCTCCTCGTCCTTTTTGGTAGAAATGCATCTGCCACTTGGCTGCCTGCTCGTCGAGAGGATCCACCATTCCACCACCAGCAGGACTAGGACGGCTGCTGCTACTCCCTCCCTCCTGGCTCATGACTCGTGTCTCCTTACACAACCACCACGGTGGCGTTAATTACTTGAGAAACAAAGGACACCACCACCACGTAAGTAGTAGTGCGAGGATCAAGTTCTTCCGCATTCGAGAGTCGTCATTTTGTGGAGAACAATTATGTGGGACAAGAATAAACAGGGAGGTCTGCCCACACCGGAAGAAGACTTGGTCGTGTGAGGGACAAATTGAGACAGATTTACCCATTGACCCCGTACGTATTTTCCTTAATGATGGAGGTAGCCGCCAGCAGCAGTGAGGAGGGCGTCCTCAACGACATGGCGGGCCACCCCGCCACCTACGACGAGGTGCATATGTACTTCACCAACAATAACATGAGCCTGGACGACTACTACGACTCTTTTAACGGGTCGAATAACAATACCGTCGTGCTCCACGCGGTGGGAGGGTACTCCACCCTGCACATCATCATCTCCTCCATCGTCCTCACTTTCATGATGATCGTCGTCGTGATCGGCAATATGCTCGTGATCATCGCCATCGCGACGGAAAAGTCGCTCAAGAACTTGCAAAACTGGTTCATCGCGTCGCTCGCGGTGGCCGACTTTTTCGTGGGGCTTCTCATCATGCCCTTCTCTCTGGCGAATGAGCTCATGGGGTACTGGATCTTTGGCAGTGTGTGGTGCAGCATCCACTCCGCGATGGACGTGTTGCTCTGCACCTCCTCCATCATGAACATTTGTCTCATCAGTTTGGACCGGTACTGGTCAATCACGCAGGCGGTGGACTATCTAAAAAAGAGAACGCCCGTCCGAGCCGCCGTCATGATTGGGATGGTTTGGGTGCTCTCTGCCTTAATCTCGATCCCACCTTTGTTAGGGTGGAGGGACCCGGACGCGATCAACAGCTCACCCCTGCCGACGTGCCAAGTAAGTTGTAATAATTTGCATGATTTTCAGCAGACAGCTTTCTCCACTTTGGAAGCAATTTCGTAGAAAGTAGTAATATTTGGTAGGTTCAGAGATGAAGGTATGAGAGCAGGGTTCCCAGAGGTGGTAGTCCCAGACAGATAATTAGCATCGACACTCACTCACTTCCATCGCAACTCAAACAGAAAACTGTGTAGAGAGGAGAAAGCAAGATTGAAACTCGGTGGCATCGGGCAATTCAAAGTTTTGTGTACCCCTCAGGAACTCCTCAAAGTTTGGTAGAATTAGCTGGAAGAATGGAAACTCTGAATTGTCACTAATTATTGTGGACTCTTGTTAAGATTTGGTTGTAATTTCGTCCCACTTCAGTTTCTTCTTCTTCTTCTTCTCTACTTTCTCCCCTTTCACCTTCACCACCGGGAAACAGCAACCATCAGAGTTTCCATTCCATCCTCTCAAATTAATCCCAAGTCAAATCCAGGCTCACCGAGTGGAACAAAGAGGGCCAAGGATATATATACAACACGGCTCCTTAACTCGTCCTGCCCCTGCTGCTGCGAGATATTTCTTAAACTTGGAGAAAGCAGGCGGAGGAGAGAAATCCTTTAGTTCAAACCACATCGATCCACCCAGACTAAGAAGAAGGGGCTGCTGTGAAGAGCTGCCGGTAAAGGTTTTTGGCATCCAACAACTTGCTACAGATGTGGCTAACTGCTCGAGAAATCTGCATCGGGGAAGAGATGTAGGTTGGAGGAGGGGGAAATAATACAAGGCAGAGAGTCCAGTCACGGCGGAGGGAGGTGTGGGGACGTTAACATTGAACGATAAGGGGGAGGAGAAGGGATGGGTTTATTTATGCAAGATGGGGAGATGTTCCAACAACCGTGGGGACATTGCCCGGGTGAAAATCCTATGTCGAATTTGACATAATTCTTCACAAGAGCCCGGAACAATATGGTTTGTGCAGAAAAAGTATGAACAATTCTGCATATAATTTCTGACAGGTATCTTCTGCAGAAAGGTTTAGCATAATTCTGTCTATTTTGTTTCGGCATAAATTTTTCTGCATGAAACCCAGCCAAATTTATGCATAAAATCCCATAAAATTTTCACCCCTTCAAGCATCCACGGCCACTGGGTTCCAAGTCCACTGTATAATTTACACCGAGACTTTCACACACTGTAATAAAAGATGTGAAGGATTCTCAACTCTCGCACTACTTCTAAGCCTCCCACCACCACCACCAGCGAGAGGATTATCGTCGGTCACTGGGCCTTTGACCTAATACATTCCACCACCAGGCCTACATACACACCAGTAAATACGTACGTATGGATAGAACGGGATGCCCCCGCATTTTGGGCAGAGAGAGAGAGAGAAAGCGAGAGAAAGTCGTCCGTCTTACCAGATTCTGAGCCAATTGTCCGACTAAGCTTTCTGCACCGTGTTCAACCAAGTGATTCAGTCCGTGTTACATGAAAATGAGTACCATACGCATTGCTCCCCACACAAGACCTTTCCTCCAAAAGGGACATAATTCACCCCAGAAGGAGGAGGAGTGGTGGTGGTGGTGGGAACGTGAAATTTTTCATTTCTTTCTCCCAAAAGCTTTTCTCGAAATGATGAAGCGAGTATAAGATTCTGAGCACTCTTATGACTCTCGAGTGGAGAAAGTGATCCCTTCGCCTCCTCCTCGGCGGATATGTGTCCTCGTGGCTCGTGGTTTACGTGGTGGGAGAAAGTGGACAAACGAAGGGAAGCAGAATTGCATTCTGAATGAGACCATGGGAGTATAATACGGGTATAAAATTCGAGGTGTGGTGTATACGAGCAGTGGCCGCGGAGGAAGGTGTGGGGACGTTAACATTTTAGGATAGGGGAGGCCGGGTTTATAAGATGGGGAGATGATGCCGACATCGAACAAGCGTGGGGACATTGTTCCTCTGTCCTTTCGCGGCCACTGCACAAGAGAGACGACATAACCACGTTACCCTGAGGACCAGTGGCCGCAGAAGCTGTGGGGACATTAACATCGTACGATAAGGGAGGCAGGGACGGGTTTGTATAAGATGGACAGATGATGGCGACATTGTCCCTCTGTCCCCTAACCCTTCCGCGGCCACTGTATCCGAGACATATATAAAAGCGTACGTAGCTGCTCGCAACACTGATCACTTCCCGAATTGGGATTCTGCTTCTGATTTTATTAAGCTCCATTAGAATTACATTCGACATGCCACCCAAACCCAAGAATAGCTGGATATCCTTCTATTGTACGTATACGTAGGTGGGCTCCCTCACTCAGCAGACCACTGCTCATAGAATTTATTGCACGGCATGTGAATCTCTTACACATTGCTGGCCTGTGTTGTTGGCGGTGGTGTAACAATAAAATAAATTGAACTTGGAGCAAGTGAAATTCTCTGCGAGTTAGGGAAAACATATTGACTTTCATGCTTTCTTTCTTTCTTTCCCCTCCGCCTCCTCCTCCTTTTCTTCGTCTACTACTTTTCCTTTGGAGAAAGTTTAGTTTTGTCGTGAGAGCTCAGGAAAGTATTTTGTGTCACATTTACGAATCTATCCATGTCATTCGGTTGACTCCTGCTGCGACCTGGATACTAAATTGCTTATTGCATTTACCGGTCACCACCACCGCGACCACCACGACGGCGACATGCCGAGCCCTGTTGGGCTATGAATTTAGTGGTGGTGGTGGTGGTGGTGTGGTTTAGAGCTGTTTAAGCGTTTGTGTTCTTACAGAAGGTAAAAGTAAGTAGGAGGCGATATAAGATATTGGGTGTCTTGTAATTTTCTCGAGATGTGCATATCTTCATTCGAATATAATTTTCTCGGCAGAATAACTAAATCAAAATTGAGCAATAACATGTACTTGTTTTGTTTGGCGAGAGAAGAAATTAATGGGTTTCGTTGTATAATGGAAATGGATACGTAACTATTTTCCATACGTATACGTGCGGGGCACATGTGTGCCTAGTTTCAGTGGCGGCGGAAGGGTGAGGGGACAAAGGCCCCACGGTTGTTCGATGTCCGTATCATCTGCCCATCTTATATAAACCCGGCCTTTCCCTATAATGTCCCCACCCACGGCTTCAGCGGCCACTGCGTATCGTGTCCACTGCTACTGCTTTCCTGCTGCCAGGCCAGGTCTCAAGGTGAAATAATAAACTAGTTTAAAATGAAGATGTCCTAGAAGGATAATTGCTCCTCAAACGATGCAAAATTCATAAATTTACAATTCTCATTTCCCTCGCCGCCGTCCTGGCTACATTTGCATGACGGTGTGCATAACAAGTGTACGAGACACTAATGAGTTTGATGTTAATAATTATTGATTCGTGCTGCTTTTGAATTATGTAGCAGGCAGGCAGGCAGGCAGGCAGGCAGTCAAGCAACCGTCGGAGAAAGTCCATCTTTTTTCCTGCACCCACCGCCGGCCGTATTAATAAGGCCATTTCGCATTTATGTATAGCATTCGTAATGGCGGAAGGGGGCTTTTATATAATCCACCTCCGTTCATTTTACGGCATGCACTTGTAGCTCGGCTGGAGAAATGATGGGTGGTGCGAGCACAGCGGCATGATTGCACTGGGCGATCAATTTGTCGTTATTGTTTCCCCGCCCGTTTTTCACAAGGTGCATGGTTAGTTATTCATTCAGAGGGGAATTAAGTTTATGCATGTGGATGTTGACCGGTGTGGAGGGGATAAAAATGTCTCGCACAGTGGCCGCGGAAGGGTGAGGGGAAAATGTCCCCACCGATGTCGGCATCATGTCCCCATCTTATATAAACCCGGACCTTCCTTCTTATCCTACAATGTTAATGTCCCCACAGCTTCCGCGGCCACTGGGGGTGGTGGTATGTGCAGGAGAAAGTACATATGCTGAGTACAGTGGCCGCGGAAGGGTGAGGGGGGACAGAGGGACAATGTCCCCACGGTTGTTCGATGTCGGAATCATCTTATAAACCCGGACCTTCCCCCCATCCTACAATGTTAACGTCCCCACAGCCTCATCCGCGGCGACTGGTTGGTGATCATGCATTTGATTGTTCTGCATTGTTGTTGTTCTTGTCTGGAGAGAGATTTTATACTTTTACTCTATTTGCGCAGTCGTAAAATATTCAAACCCTGTGTTATGAACTGTCGTATAAAAGTAACCGATTCTACATCAGAGGACGTAAAGGTGATAACGACCCTGCTTGGCAATCCTGTTACCCCATGTCACACACACACTTTAATGGGCAGCCATCCAAGCTGTGTGAATAAACGTGGTCGAATTGTTTTAGGACGTGGGGTACGCAGTGGCCGCGGAAGGGGAGACGGACAATGTCCCCAGGGTTGTGGGATGTCGGCATCATTTGCCCGTCTTATATAAACCCGGCCTTCCCATATCTATCCTACAAAGCCCAATGTCCCCACGGCTTCCGCGGCCCCTGTAGCATAGTAGGACATACACACATAACATGCATCGCGTGGCCGCGGAAGGGTAAGGACATAGGGGCAATGTCCCCAGGGTTGTTCAATGATTTGCCCATCTTATATAAACCCATCCTACAATTTTAACGTCCCCACATGTCCCCACACCTTCCGCGGCCACTGGTCGTACCTCGAGAGAAGATGAGACGGTATCTAGTTAGTTATTGTATAATGCATCAAAGTTCGAACCAGAGCCTGCCTCTCAAATCTTTCACCACATCGTTTTTAAACACTTCTCCCTCTCTCCTCCTAAACTTCAACACGTACACATTTTAACTGCACAACTAATAAACACGGGATTCACAATAAACACTGAAGCGAATTCGAAAGTGACCCTCCTCGCCAGTAAAACAGACGTTCCTCTGTCCCACCCAGGTTGAGATGAGATGAAAAGCGGTCTAATATACATACCCACCCATCCACCCACCCGACTCTCCGCCTGCATAATTCAATCTTGCTTTCAAACGTCAGAATACCGGATTCGCATCGGCGCGTCATTCCAA